AGATAGAACAGTAGTAGCAAGGTAAAAGGTCTTCTTCAGGATGGGAATCTGGACAGATGGAAGATGGAAGAGTGGGTGCCGGAGCAGGTAGAAGGAGGAGGAGAAAATGCTTGTTGGGAAACTGATGTGATCACCTGGAGCACATCTTAAAATCCATCTACAGGAGTTACCTGTAAAGTGCCCAGGTGTTCACTGTGGCTCATGGACACATCTGTTAGACTTGGGACAAGCTACTTAGCCTTATATTTCAGTTTCTTTATCCCTGAAATGAGGATGGTGCACGGGAAGAGTTAAATGAGATGATGGGGTAAAGCATTTAGAACAATGCCTATCTCAGTAAAAGTTTCATTATTGTTCTTATTAGATACTCATGATGAAAATATTTCTATGCTAATTTCTAAAATTATATGAAGAGGCTTGAATATCAGTGACTGCCTAGTGTAGCATTTCCATCTGTTATTATAGATTTATAAACTAAAGCATTCATATCATTCATATCATATCAAGGTAAATATTTTTATGGTTAACACTAAATTAGCTCTTAGAGCTGATTTTCTTTTCTTTTCTATTTGTACATTTCTGGCTTCAACATCTGCTTGCCTTCTCCCACTTTGCTGACCCATATGAGTGTGGAATATTAGGAGACGACTGTGCCCCTTTTAAGTGTCAAAGTTATAACAAAAATTATAATTAAAATTATAACAAAAACAATATGGATATGTAAGAGCTATTACATTATTAAAATATTACCAACCACAGGAAAGAGTGTTGTCATTAGCTTGAATTATTAAAGTTTATAGATTTAATTTGTTTTTCCTTTGCAGTATCTTTTATGTATAGGCCCATTACTTTCCAAATGTAACCTTTGGTTATTAACTCACTGGCTGATCCAAATTTCATTACTTCTCTTATATTCATCTGCCCTCCTTGAGCATGCTAGTGGGTAATGAAATGCTTACTACTTGTGAAGGAAAGAGAAAAGTAAAAGAAAAGACTCCAAAAGTGAATGGTGAATCTGGAATAACTGGAATTCATTGTAGTGTTACATGTTATTTTCTATGGAGGTAAGTGGATTTTTAGAAATACTTAAATCCTGGAGAATCACTAAAAATAAAAATGTACAATTGAAATCTGCATTTATTGATAATTACTTCAGTTTATCCTTCTACAAAAAACAAGAACAAACTAACAAATAAAAAACTATTTCATTTTTCCAAGACCTAATATCAAGTTAAATCAGAGGTAAAGACTCTGAACTATCAGGTTAAACGAGGAGTCAGGAGCTGCTGTCTCCTGCCAGTGGTAGCCAGCACAGCCACTCAGTGGAGCAGCATCAGCCCTGTGATCACTGGAGGAGCTCAGACTCCATGGAAATGGGCATCAGCCAGGGAAAAAAATTGCTTTCTAGTCAAACAAAACCGCACTTGTATGAAATGGTCTAGAAATTGTGATGACAGGAGACCTCTCCAACTTGGTGGAGAACAGGCCAGCTGTTTTTATGTCTGACTTCTGAGACATCTAGGCAGATACTGAACAAACTGTGACAAATAGGGTCAATCCCAGGAAGTCTTTGAAATTTGCCTTCCCTCTGGTCAAACAGTACAAATGGCTTGAATTCATTTTTCATGCTTGAGATGCAGATTCTATGAATTTTATATTTAAATGTGCTTAGTCAACTGCCAGGGCCTCCCAGCAAGGAATTCAATGCTTTTTGAAGCCCTTATTAGAGGAATGTGGACATACTGTTCTGTGGAACGGCTGTGTTTCTGGTACAGTGTGAGCCCAGGGTGGGCGTGAAGACCCAGGTGCACCTGAGCTCACCAGGGAAAATGTGATGTGCTGAACAGAAGCCCTTTTCAAGCTGAATCGAGTGCTCTTTCCTAATTCACATGCTGAAACCTTGCTCTCTCAGTTGTCTAAATTTGGAGACAGGCAATTAAGTTAAAATGAGGGTGGACCCCAATCTGACATAGTGTTCTTATTACCACAAGGAGATCTGGACAGAGAGAGAGAGACACACACACAGAGAGAGAGAGAGAGAGAGAGAGAGAGAGAGAGAGAGAGAGAGAGAGAGCACAAAGACAGGAGAAGCACGGCTGCCTACAAACGAGGAGAAAGCTGTGTAGGATCAAGCTGCCAACACTTTGCCCATGAATTTCCAGCTTTCTGATTGTGAGAAAATGAATTTTCATCACTTAAACCTCCCTTCCTGTGGTAACACAAGCAAACTCAACAAGCTGTACTTGTACAAGATGACCCTTTCTGCTCCCAACTGGGAGGAGATGAGCCTATGGATAAAAGTTTGGTGCGCATCAGTTACTTCAAGGGCTCCTAGAACAGAGGGAGGAGAGTGAGCAGTATGCGAAAGGAAAGGTATTTTTTTCCTTTTTAAATCTCCTTTTGCTTTATTATTACAAAAGCTTAATGCATTCATTATAGAAATATTATGCAGTATAAACCAGGCACACATATGTAATCCCAGCAATCTGTGAGACTGACACAAGAGGATCTCAAGTTTGTGTCTACCTAGGCAACTGAGTGAGACCCTGTCTCAAAACAACAGCAACAATAACAACACAACAACAACAACAACAAACTCAGGATACATTTCATTGTGAAGACACTGGATTCAAACCCAATGCTGCAAACAAAACAAAAAACAGAACAGGAAAACCCCAAAAGCAACAACAAAAAGATGAAAAAAATGGAAGAAACACAATATAACTGTGTCTCTCCACTTAAGGATAACCACACATTGTGTCTTTCCAGACTTTTTCCTATAAACAAACAAATCTACATATGTAATGCATACATGCATATATATAGGCGCAAAATGGAACAATTTATTTTTTGTGGTCATCTGTCAATGTCAGCAATGTCTCGCTTATAAAGCCATTTCCAGTGTCCAAAACTGTTCATTATAGGGTGGTATTCTAGAAGGGTACCGGGCATTAGATGCGTGGAGGTTCCAGCAGATGGAAAGATGGAAAGGCTTTGCAGCATTACTTTTAAGGTCATGCCTGTTTATATCCAGCTAGTCTATTTCAAGTGCCACATAAAGCCCCGTTACCAGGAACTCTATACTCAGCTGCTCTGGGCCTCACAGCCAAATTCCTAGGCAGGACAGTAGGGAAACTAGAGGACACTGAACATTAACGACACCAGTGATTTGGGGGAATTGCAGGTGGCTTGATGGAAGAGTGTGGCATGGAAGGAAGAGGCATTTCCCACCTTGGCGGAGTGACAGGTGTGCCGGGGCCAGTATGACCTGTGGTTGAGATGGGGCCTGTGAGCCCTGCCAGGAGGGACCCTATGGGATCAGCCTCCAGGAGTGCTAGGGAGAAGGAAATGTGAAGGGGTCTGCACTACCCACTTCAAGAGGAGGATTTATCTGTCAGGGACTCCAAGCCAGTAGTTGGACCTAGGGCTGGGCTCCAAGGGATCCCATGGCAGGGAGCCAGAGGTCACTGCAATTATGACCACTCCTTGTTAATTTTATCCCTCAAGCTTTCAGAGCCTGGGAAAATACAGGTTATTCTAGGGAATGAGAACAGAAGGACTGATAGCCTTTGCAGTTTTTCTGTGTTAATGCAAGATGCTATTTGATTTTGATTCGCTGCCCAGTAAAAGAGATCTCTGGGGGGCATAGTTAAATAGAAAGCTAAGCTAACCTTTCAATGGAAAAGAAAATGTTTTATTTTACAAACATGAAAATTATGTGGCACTCGATAAAATGTGTTGGCAAGTAAACTTCTGCTATATAATATGATAAATAAAATAGGTTAATTCTTCTTGGGAGAAGAAACTTTTTTCACTTATTGGAAGACTGCAGAACTTTCCTTTCTTTTATTTTCTTCTTCGTGGTTTTTTTTTTTTTTTTTTTTTCCTGAGGTGGAGTCTTGCTATATAGTTCAGGCTGGCCACGAACTCACTATGTAAGCAGGCCTCAAACTCACAACAATCCTCCTGCCTCAGCCTCTTGAGTGCTAGGATTACAGATACGGGCCTTCAGGCCTGCAAGAACTTTCCACAGGGGTCTGTTTAAGGATGATAGGCAGTGGTCGATGATTTGGGGACATATGGAACATTTGGAAAGGAAAGGGCATCTTCTTGTTGACAGGAAGGATGCTGGTGCACTCTTGTGTTTTGGGGTCTCACAGTATCTGCTCATCTTTGGGTCTTTGCTAGTCAGATATAACATCCAAATCGAAAAACTATCACACTGATTTTGAAATAAAAATATTGTAGATATGAGTGAAGAATTAATAACATTTTCATATATATACATATACATATATTCACTTTTAGCTATGTATATATCACTAAAAATGCATAGTTCAGAAAAGAAAAATAGTATGATGCTTTTCCAATACATGGTGTTACCCTCATATGGGGGACCCTAGGGGATGTCATATTTCATAGAAAACCCACTGTACTGCTGGACCCTTAGAAAAGAAGCTGAAAATGTGTGCAGCAATCTCAATGACCAAAGTTACCTAAGCAGCAGTTTACTGTATTAATAAATGTCTGAAAAATGATCGCCACCAATAATTTGAGCATCTCTAGTAGGGCAGAGGCCAAAGGTAGTTTGTATTAACCTTCGGGCATCACAATACACTTAGTATTAAAATATTTATACGAATTTTTCTTTCCCTGAAGTATGCATACATTTTTTGGTGGACTCTGTTGCATGCACACTTGCGTGTGTGCTGCTGGGGATGGCACTCACGGTCTCTGGTGCGCTCAGCATTACCACTGCAATGCATCCCTAGTCCCTGGTTTCTTTGAAATGCTGATTTAGTAGCCAAAGTTACTTCCCAAAATTAACACGTTACATTTGCCCAAGGCAATGAATAAATCTTCAATAAAACAAAAACAATTTCTTCTCCTGGATTGTTTTCTTCTGTTTCCAAGTGGCACCATGGAGAATTAATTCCTTCACAATGTAATTCACTGTAGCCTATCAAATTAAAAATGGTTATGGAGGAAACAAAGCTTACCGTCTATCACTGGCTTGGGCTGAGAGCTTTTGAGGCGCAGTGAGGGCCGGAAGCGGGTGCGGTCGTTGAAGCTCCAGCTCTTCTGCACTTTGGTGGGGCTGCCTTCCGCTGTGATGTCTGTGCTTGGGGACCTCCTGTCACCTACGGAGGCTTGTCTGCTCTTAATACTCTGGCCCCTCGGGCTAGCCATGCGCACTCGCTCCTTAAAACTTAGCTTCTGACTGTGGAGAACAGAGGCATGATTATTCCATTTCAAGCTATTTCTTCCAATTCATTTTAGTACATAATTTGATGAAACTGTATGCGGTCATGTATTTCAATAGATGAGATGTTTTCAACAAGTAGGAGCATAGAACTATATTTTTCCTTTGGTGAAAAGTTGAGTTTTTAAAATTTTTGTTTGCACTCATGTGAGATCTATCTAATGCAGGTATGTAATACATACCCTTCTTGGACTTGTTACAGAAAGGACTGAGACCAGGTGTAGCAGTCTGTACACAGTTATACTGGAGATAGACTGGTATGCATTTCGCTTAAAAAGTGTTGGGTAAATTTAGCTTTAGCCTCAACTTTTAAGATTTAAAAAAAGTTATTTTTTTTTGTTTGGGAGCAATTTCTCTCCAATTTTTAAACAGTTCCACAGGAAAACATGGATGACAGTTACATATAGATGTCCATTCAGCATGCATTTTATATTTCAGGCAAGATTATATATCCATAAATTCATGCAATCTTACAACAGTTAGTAGCACTGCATATGTACCAAACATATGACACTTAATAGGACATTTCTTTTATGCTTACATTCCTTCTTATGAGACAAAACCTATGCAAGGTAGAACAGTCTCGACATATAATGAATGTGATGAGTGATTAATAGGATGAGATGTAATTAATGTTTACTAACACAATTTTCTGCTGTTAAGCAGGTTATTGATTGCTGTGGCAGCTACTGGTAAATTATATTTGTTCAAACATTCAGTTCTTTGGGCCTGCACTGGGTTGAATTGTGTGCTGATAGAAGGAACATTATCAACAGCACACTCGAGAATGCATCTTCACACTTCCTTAATCTAGAGACTTGGTGTGATGTGCTGGGGAGGGCAGGCCCACATCTTTGAATTGGAGATAAAAATAGCCACGTAGCTGAGGCTTTTTGTGGGAATAAGATGAATCAGAAGAAGGTCTGCATACCCACTTTGTTTGGTTTCTTTTTCATTTGTAAGAGACTTGCACTACCCACTGGAAAGCAACAGGGTGTTATCAATGTGCTAGGGTCAGGGCACAGCAGGGACAAAGAAATAATGGGACAATGGATCCCAGGGAGAGTTGCTGGACCAGCTTTGCTGAGTCACATGTAGCCTTTGTGGGGATGAAGGCAACTCTCAGGGATCAGAATTATTTGAGACAAAGTGGAGACCTTGGGTTCCCCACTTAACGTAGTGTCCACCGTCCCTGACTGCAGCATGCCAACAACAAACATGTTTAGTGGTTATGCGTTTCACAGTTAATGAGAAAAAGTACATTGTCTTTCCATGCCGTGTTTAACAAACATTATTCTACAAGGCACTGTATTGTGTGTTTACATGAAAACAAATGAAATCATGGATTATGGTGGTCAGAGAGTTTTGGTCACAGGAAACAAATTGACCATGCAACTGCCAGCTCCCCTCTGCGATGCAGACAGCCAAGTCCAGGACTAGCTGAGGACACATGCACAGAACAGGCGGGCAGTCTCGTGATGAGGTCAGGTGAGCCGAGAGTTCTTTATGACAGTCCTGTCAGTTGAAGGGCTTCTCTGCACTAGATCAATGTGCGATTAAACGGTAGATTATATTACATTACGTGAGAGTAACAATAACATCAGAAAACTGAATCTTTTTATTCTCAGGCTAGGTTCTCCATGTCCTCTAAACCCTGGAATTATTTAAACACATCTTTCAAAGGATAGTGTCCAAAAATACTTGTCTTTAAAAATGTTTTTAATAGTAAAATTTTTGTGATTTTTTTGAAGTCTGGGGATTGAAGGTAAGGGTTTCAAACTGAGCTATATTCTCAAATGTTTTCTAAAATTTTAATTTAATGATTATTATTATTTATTTTCTTGAGATAAGGTCTCACTAAGTTCTATAGGCTGAGCTTAAACCTGTGATACTTCTGTCTCCGCCTGAATCTCTTTTTGACTTTAACATATCTGTTCCATAATTTACATGTATCATGGGTTGCTTTAGGAAATATATGCTTACTTTTGTACCCTTTTTAAGTAAGTGGTCAGCTAGAAATAACTATCATTACAAATGCCATCTCTGTCTATGGCCATACCACCCCAAAACGTGCCGAACTCGTCTGATCTCCAAAGCTAAGCAGGGTCGGGCCTGGTTAGTACTTGGATGGGAGACAAATGCCATCTCTATTCTTGTTCTTACCTAATATTAACTTTTACTGGAACTAACAGACACTAACTACTATAGTAGGCTGGGCTTAGTACGTACCTAATTACTTTCTCAAACTTTCAAGACATCTCTTTTTATATTAACTAAATGAACAGGAAACTGATGAACAATGATAAAAACTTATTTAATAGAAACTTTATTCTTTTAAAAAACTTTGATTGCTAAAAAAATAAAAAGTATCTAGAATGAAAGGTATCAATTTTAAATCTACCATTGTTTATTTATAACAGTAAAATATTTAAAAATTGCTCCAATAAAATATATCTAAAATGATCTATGAAACATTTTGATACTATCTTTATGGAATAATAGAAAGTGAAAATAACATTTTCTGAATCTTGGTACCACTTAAAGCACTTAAAATTGATATAAATGAATTCTAGACACCATTTCCTTTGTGTTTTTCTAATCTACATGACTTTGTTAATGTCTACTAATTAAAAAATATCAAGAACTATTTTGAAATAAACACATTACTCATTAAATTAAAGAAAACACTATTTTCACTTTCTCTTCAGACAGAATTGGATGATGGATAAGACTAACATCCTGACCCAGGAATAGTAGGTAATTCCCCCCATCCCAAGGCAAAGATCTGTTAAGTCCTCTCACAAAAAACAAAATAAACAAACAAATAACCCCTTACTATTGTAAATTCTACTTCATTTCCCCTTTGGAAATCAAGAGTATTTTAATTATATGGTATTAAACTGATTAGGTAGATGTCACTGAAAACACACATTGATTAAACATATAGACTTTTCATTGGCACGTTAAAGTTTCAATTATTTTGCTGTCTTTTTCTGACACTCACAACTGTCATTTTTGAGAATTATGTAGCAGTGAGTTGAGGGAGAATGCCAGGAATAATCCCCAGGAGACCAAAAAGTAGGTCTTTTCTTGGAGAAAGTAACCAAAGGTCGCTGTGGTCATTGACGGGCGCGCCTTTTGTGGTACACAATCCCACATTCCCAGCTGAGGACCATGCTCAGGGGAGCCCGCCAAACTGCTCCACAAGGAGACTATTTCCCTCCCTCCCAGGAGCCAGATGTCCAAGCTACTCAAATGGCCCAGCATGCGGTGTACTGCCGGATGCTCCCTGCTAGGAACTGCGCGGTAGCATAACCCCACAGCAGTTCTCTAGGACTTGGAGTGCTGTAGTTACTGTTATACTTAATTGAGGGTTTAGCCCTTGTTGGGATAAGCATTCTGCAGTCAACTTCCCTCAGGCACACTGGGGCACAATCCTGTGCGTGCAGGAGCCCAGAGGTTCTCCCACCACAAGGAGGCGCCAAGGGGCTGAGTGCCAGGGCTGTGCGGGACCCTGCCTATTAGTGCCAGTGGTGGAGAGATCAAAGCAAGCAACAAGCAACAAGAATTACAAGCGGGCTGAAGACCTCATTCAAGAAGTCCCTGAGGAGAGTGAGTCTGAGAAGAGGGCTCAGGTGGGGAGGCGGTATAACCTGGTCATGCACCTGAGGTTAGTTGGCATTCTCAAATCTCATGTCAACAGCCAGGATGCGGGGTACCTCTGCTTCCGTGAGGTGTACATTCTGAAGAGCTTCTGCTTATTACTGCAGAGCTTACTAGAGTGGGGGAAATAGAGCAGCGCATTACTAGGCATTTCACCACCAGGAAAGTGCTTAGGGGGTTCTATCTTGCTCTTTCGAAAAACACAGACTTTTGGCTTTGTTGTTTTTTGCAGATAAGTACACAGACTTTAAGCAGGAAGAACTCTGTAGTTTAAATGTGCTGCTCGAAATACAAGTAGGGCTCTTAGGTGTTAGGTTGAAATAACTGGCTTTGAAATAAAGCATTATTAATGATGATAGTCTATGTGCAAGCAATCTGTTTCCTATGAGAGTAAGAATACGAATATTTTAGAACATAGCAAGTCCTGTAATAAATATCTATGTAGCATGGTAAAAATGCTTGAGGAATAAAATATTTCAGAAATTTTAAGAAAAAATATTTACAAAAGTCAGTGATGTAGATAACATTAATTGTTTTGAAATTTAAGACAGAGATTCTTGATTTGGGTGAAACACCTGTAGTTACAGTTAATATAAGTAATCATGTCTCAGCTAGAACACCTGTTAACAAACAGGAAGATTCCAGGTGACTAGTTTTTCTTTTTTAAGTATATTTCTTATTTAAAATTCTACAGTGTGTTTTCAAAAGAGTAAATCCTTTCCCTCTATCAATAAACGTGATCAGAAGGAAAGGCCATTTTGAAAAGATTGTTTTGGACCAATGTAACATTTTGACAAGAAGGACCTTAACTGACTTTGCTGGAGAGAAAGTAAACTCTTGTGGTACTGGGTTTAGTTTGACAACACATGCATATCATTCATCACACACAGAAGGAAGAAAAGCAGAAAGGAGAAGCAGTAGAGATACAAGAACACACAATCTCTTCCCCGAGGGTTCCAGAATCCTGCCACAAGGACCACACCCTGCGCAGAGCCCCATATAGCAACTGCACTCCAGCTGTCTGGATGAAGCACTCAATAGATCACAGCACACATTTGTAATACAATGAAAGGAAATTATTTGCATCTTAACTTTTAACACATGCGTCTTGGTAACAGTCTTATAGTTACTGGCTAAGGCAAGTTTAGACTGTTTGCTGACTTGGAATCTGAGGTGGCTCTACTGATGCTTACTTAGGGAACAAAGTTAGGCAGCCGTGTAGATTAAGAAGACATGGTAAGTGGAGGCAGTGAGATTCACAGACAACCCCTAACCCTCACAGGCTATGATCTGTTCTTACAGCAATGAAAATTTAGGTAGGGGAGAGGTAAAAGCCTTCTGAAGCAGTGTGATGACTCACTGACCACTACTTGGTGACCTGGGCAGGGAGAAAAACTTAGGTTCCCTAGGTGAGAATACTGGGCTAATGTTTCCAGATGGGTTTGCAAGTAAATTCCATTCTGTGAAAGTGACAGTTGATGCTGCACAGAGAGAAACTGTCCAACTGCAGAAATGAGTTAGAAAATTGTCAATGAGATGATTAATTAGAATAAAGTGAACAAACAAATTTACCACTACATGTATGAGATGAGAGCAATTTCAGAGGGAAGACAAGAAATGAGTAAGAAAATGATGCTGAACATTATATTTATAGTCTCAGTGGAGGAAGAACAGCTGGCTCAGATGAGACCAACAGTAATTTTTGTACTGATCCTATATCACATAACCAAAGAAACTTTCTCTTTATCATTACTATATTAAAAATGCTCTTGTTGGAACAGGTAGTTTGTATTTGTAAAGAAAAAGTTTTGACCTGTCACAAACAATATGGCATTGTTTCTTAGCTTGAAACATTATAGATGAATTTTGTTTAAACACACCCTAATTTCAGTGTGGAAAGAAATGATTTCTCTATGTGATGAGCATATCTGAACACAGGCAACATAATTAACCACTGTATGAGTGTGTTTGACTTCCATCCATTCTGTAGACAGAATGGGTGGCTGGAGGCAGAGTCCTGGCTCTCACTCTGTGACACAGCCGGTGCTGTGAGAGGGTGTTGGTGACTGTTCTGAGTTTATCAGCTCATCCTAGATTACTTTCAATTTTTACCACAACGAAAAATCACAAAAAAGAATGTAGGAGTTTCTAGGCTTAGAGGTAGGTGAAACACCAAAATTTTGCCTTTCACTGGGTCTGAAGCTTATCTATTCAGCTGATCTGAGATCACCCTCAGTCTATGGCCATACCATCCAGAACACACCAGATCTCCCCTGAAATCACCCTCTATGACCTCATAGCCCCACAGGCAGTGAAGGACTATGCAACTGTGTGTGTGTGTGTGTGTGTGTGTGCGCGTGTGCTCATTAGTTCATCTGAAATGAGGTCAAGTATTAATTAAGAATATTCCAGACTCAGAGCTGCTTTCCTCCAAGAGAGAAGTCTGATTATAAATACATTTTCCTTTGTGCATATTTTGCTTGCTAAGGAAAAATTTGTAACTTTCAAAGATGGCACTCTTGCTTCTGTTATTACAATAGCCTTTCTGCATTCATTATGCAGCATTATGAATTCCACTGTTCAGGAAGCACAAGGTGAAAGCTAAGGAGCTTCAGTGTGTACACTTTTATGTCAAGTAAGATACTAACAAATAAATAGAAGCCTTCAGCTTATTTCCTTTAGATCACTGCAATGTTATTTCTTCTTTCTTGATATTTCTATTTCCTGTTTTTGTTTGTGCTTTATTTCTCTTCATATAAACTAGCTGACCTTGGGGATAGTTTATTACTGTATCTAGGAATTGAGCCCATGATGTCTATCATAACTTCACCTTGGTGGTACAATAGATACTTGCAGAATGGAAGTCAAGGTATCCAGGATAAGTAGTAAAACAGGATTTGTATTAAGGTGTTTTTAATTGTAGAGCAGTAAGAAATTTCAGTGCCTGATTCTCTAAGTCATAAACCAGTTCATCGTTTTTGTACATATTCAAACCTGCAAACGAGTTATCTTTGACAATCTGTTTCTAGCATCCAGCATAGGTTTAAATGTTTTAGGTACGTGGGGACACCATGAAATTTATGAAATTGGATGGGTAGTCTTTCTGTATCGTGCCAGATGGCTAGGAGCTGACTCTTGGACAAGTGATCTGAAGCTCCAGAGCAATACTTTGATTCTGTCTTTGCTTTCTGCCACACTAACATTTGGAAAATGTTATTATCCCTCACTCAGGATTGCCAGAAAGGTCATGCTTTCCCAAGCACCTGTACAGGATTTACAGACTTCCCTTTTGGCCAGCAACAGCTCCATTTTGGAGGATGAAACCAAGATAGGTGATTTTACTCCTAAATACTTCTGGAATCTGTGCCACTGGTGATCTATCTCTGCCCTTAGAATTGAGACAAGTCATCCTTTTGTAGATAGGCAGATCCTGAGATGAGGAAAGTGTTTTAAGATATCACCAAAGAGGCTACAACATAGATTATGATGGCTATGATTTATTTTGTATAATATTTTTTAAAAGGAGTTGTCATAATAGAAGGACAGTGAGGTCAGCTTGCGTCATCCAGTGTCTATGAAAAGAATATTCTGAGACTGACCAGAGCCACTCTTTGGTCAGAAATATCTCTAAAGTGGAGTCAAGTCTTAAGGCAATCAAAAATTTCTGAATGTATCACTCAGGAATATCTGATGTTCTTGTACTAACTGTATACCTACCATCCCTAAGTACCTAGGTTATCACCCACTGGGAGGGCCTCCAGAGGTATACGATACTGTATCTGCCTCTCAGCATACATGAATATATTTATGTTTTGCTTTGAGAATGTTTTTAAGTGTTAATGCAGAAATAAGTAACTGAGTCTCATCACTTTCAAAACTGATTTTGGTGCTGGGTTAATATTGCATAATTAATGTCATTATCAAAACAGCACAAAGCTGATGGAACAATTCCTGGACAACACTGACTCCCACCTAGACACTGAATCTGTGAAGGGCAATGCCTTCATTTTTTCTTTACTAAAACAAGAAAAGAAAACAAGTAAAGTGAAAGTACTTGTGTTCTTTTTTCCCTTCCAGGAACTTGCTGTTCTCTTGCTGGTCTGCCTCCACCACCCCTTACACCATCAGTGTGGGGGTCAGCCTGGTTCTGTCCTGCAGGACATTGCTCCTAAATCCAGATCTTTCTTTGTGCTTGTTAAACCAAGTCAAAAATTCCTCACTTACTTTCTATTTCCCTAGGTCTAACTCTGTGTTACCTAATCTGACTGGTACGTCCTTCTGTAACATGAAGGAGTGACCAAGAGCTATTTGGAGACATTTGAGGAGGACTTTCTTCCTCTAGAAAGATGGGGTGTATTTTTGAACCAGCTCACTGAAGTAAACCTCAGTGCTCAATGAGTGGGAGAGATTCACCTCTTGAACATAATGGGCCTTTTGCCAAAAAGTAATAAAATACTATTTTCTCAACCCCAAAGGACCCCAAAGAAGTAAAGGCTGCTGTCCAATCTCAAAACATTCAGAAAAAATTTCTCTTTTTGAAAATGTCTCTAGATGATTGAATTTTAAATATCTGGAGAAGAATTCTGTCCAGGAAAACGAAATTACTTTGCTCCCAGAATCTTCTATGATCTACAAATTGCTCAAAGCTGTGTGTGAGTTAGGGAAAGGCACTTCTGCTTCCAAGGAGGGAGAAATCAGTGAAAACCAGCAAACTTTGCAGGCAATCTTGTGAAAGGTCACTTTCAATCATCTTGAATTTGTTGACCGATTTCACTCATGAGACACATTTGAAACATCCATTAGGTATCGGCTTTACACATGAACATGTAGCAAAAAAGAAATCACAAACCTGCTTGTTGCTTCCCCTTGTTCTTTCCTTCAGGTGCGTGCAGAAAGAAGAGAAATGATGACAGACTGGTGAATACACTTACAGCACTTAATAATGGCCAAATTGAAGACTGGGAATTAAGGACCTCAACGACCCTTTCAAGTATGACCCAGAAAAGCGGAATTATTGATAATAAATATACCCACATAGCATAGGTCTGAGACAACACAAGATCCAATACAGCCCACAAATAGCCCAAAACCACAGACTCCTCATTAACTGTCGATATCCACTGATCTGCTCAGCATTACTGGAAGTTCTTAGAAGGTTGCTGGTTCAATGTAGTTGTAGTTGTTGTGTCCTAAGTAGACTTCTGGGTTTCCAAGTTTGAATTCATTAATACGTGACTGTGACTCTGCAACTCAGTCACTTGTTAAAGCAGATTTTTCTTTTCCTATTGCATAAAGTATGAGTTCCTTTTGAGTAAATAAGATACCAAGAAAATCTATTGGAACTCCTCTCTCTTACTGTTGAGTGGCAATTTTAATAACTTATTTTAGTAAATTTCATCTGGTCAACATGGTGTAGAGTCACTCTCTGAAAATGAGCCAGAGGCCTCTGGGCAAGCATCTCACTGTTTTGTGAGTATTATTTTTTAGATGACTACATTGCACGCACTAGATTGACTTCTTAAGGCTCTGAACGTCACTTAAAGGAGTCTGAGAGTACATTAAAATTGTAGGCAGTCATATTTTGAAGATGACTGGCATTACTGGAGCTCTCAATTTCCCACAGATTCATGAAATATCTGATTCATTATCTAACATTTACCTGCATTTCATCCTTTAGGAAGAAAACTAAGAAAAATATTCCCCTCTATAAATCTTTCCGTCATTAAAATGAAACTTTGACATAGTACTTGTCACACCTGAAAGGTGCATCTAAGGGACAGACTGGACCAAAAATAGAGAGCAAGAAAGTGCTGCTTTGTGTCCCTAGCAGGTTTGGAGTGGGAGAGGCATCAGGCCTCTTTCCTCTCAGTCGTCTTTCATATTTCTCCCTGGAATAAGCTTGTGGAGTCAAAATATCCTACATAGCCATCAAACTGTGGGGAACCAGAGCTGATATTCTTTAATGATGAAAATATCACTGCTGCTGCTGGTGGTGATGATGATGTTGTTGATGATCTTTTCCCTGACCACCTATTTGAAATGTTCCCTAAACTTGTTCTTTATTTTACTTTTCTCCTTAGCATTTATCGTCACTTGATGTATGATCAATTTTACTGTCTATTCCTGGTATCCCTTGTATGCAGACTTCTTGCATCCTGAGATTCTCTTTTTTTTTTTTTTCTTTTTGACTCCTGCATTCCTAGCGCATGGAACAGCACGCAGAGATATTCCATGAATGCTGGTTGAAGGCTTAGACTTGGAATGCTAAAGGGAAATGTGATATATAAATAAAAAGAAGTTTGGTCTGTTTCTTACATTCTCACCCAGTAAGCCAGCTAGTTATATATATAAAGATAGTCCTTTAAATCACCTTTAATTAAAACCTATTTGATTAAAGTAGGTTTTCTTTTTAAAGCAAAGGTTCTGCACTTAGCTTAAGGGAATCTGAGAATGCAGTAAAATTGTAGGCAATTTTTTTATTTTTGGTGCATTGATTATTATTCTTGGGGGAGAGTTCATAATTTCCGTCATATTCTTTGTGATTTATCAAGGAACAGTAACAACAATAATAACAACAACATCATCGCTATCAACAACAACAGTAACAACAACAGCTAAGAACCACAAGAACTGTGCAGTATCTCTGGAGGAAGGGAGAGGGTATTCCAATTCCCATGGAATTTACCAGTGACTGTGTCACTGTGGGTGGGCAGACAAGTGTTCAGCATGAATGGGCTAAGTCTCAGGTTAATGAGGATGTAGGGAAGGGGCGGGAGGCGTTGGATGACAGGCGACCTGGGACAGGTTTGAGGCAGGTGTTTGAATCAATCCTCCTCCACATCCACCCCCACCAACAACAAGGAGGACAGCATAGGAAAAAAATTACATGAGCAGAATCATACTTGATGAACTGGGAGAATTTGACTCATTATTAAATAGATTCTTTCAGGCTTCAGAATGACTTTTAATCCAAAAACTGCAGCAAGTGGGAAGCTAAATAATCACATATGATAATAGATCACTCTCTTCTGTCATTTGAGAACCTTCTACTGATTTTCTTACTAAACTTTCTCTTTTAAGTTTATCTCAAAAACTTCTTGAAGGTAAGGACTATAATATCTATATAGTACTCATTTTTAATCCTTCACCCAAGGAATAGATGGCATAGTTACAATCCTTTCATTTTTATATAGTAAAACTTTGAAAAGATCTAATATTCTATAAAAAGAGTTCAACTAAACTTTAAGATCTAAATGGAAAGAGAATACTATTTCACATGTTCACTCAATAGCGCTCAAGCTTCTCTCCTTGCTAAGGATCCTCCCCTCTAAAATCCTAGGGTAAGTGTTGCAAAGAATACCTTTGTGATGACAGTCTTAGCTTGTAGGAGACATATTTTGTTAGGAACTATCTTGCCAGAGCTTTGCGTTTTTTGTGTATGAAAGGGAAAACTGAAGCCCAGGGCAAGACAGGGAGACCACTTAATGAAATTAATGATCGGTTTGCTATTTTCCAATTGGGTACATGGTGCTGTCTCGCAAACCCCCAATAGTGTGGCCCTGCCAGGGACAGGTATGATGCTATCTGTAGCTGGTCTCCTTTCCAGATGGGTAAGATCAGGTGGTCCTCCTGAGTCACAGAAGTGATGCATCCTGAATCCCATGAAACTCTAAGATTAGGGGTTTTGTTCGGAGGGACGTAGCCATGTTCTAAGACATGAGGCTAGAGAAGCAATTTAATACTTTTTGAGAACAATTTGAAGAACTGACTATTCTAATCAAGCTGGGTGACTCATAGAAAGCCTTTCTCATGATTTACTGGCTTTGAAGTATCAATGAGGGCTTCTTTAATTAGACGGATGATTATGACTTAATATGTGCTTTGCTATGGAGCTGGTCTAATAGTTTAAGACTAATGACTTTTTTTTAAAAAAAATTAAAGACCATTGTGGTAAAATTAAGGCTGTTTATAACTCCTCATGTTCTCCCTTCCTTTTAGGTACGTGGTAGGGTCAATATCTTCCAATTCTCTTGAGTTTAGGGATGACCAGAGAATTCACTTTGGCTAATGAAACGTGAATAGACTATTACTTTAAAATTTGTTTGAATGATAATTCCAAATTTTAATCTGATTGGTCCCATTGCCTCATTTAAATTCTAATCATATCACACAATTTTTCCATTTTATAGCTATTGATATAAATTTGATCTACATGTGAAAGCTCCACCCTGTAAAAGATCCAGATGAGAAATGACTGTGTCAGACTCAAATGAGCAAAGATACATCACTTGCCAAGAACTCCCCTCGGTGAGTGGAAGATAATCCTTGTTTTTAAAGAACTGAGGTGCTTCCTTTTAGAACTGTGGAGAGTTTTATGAGATGAGATAGTGGAAAATTAATGTAAAACAGTAGAAAGACATTTCTACAAAAGTCTGGGGATGGTGAGGAATGATAACTGATTCCATTTAGTTTTGTGCTTGAGTTGCTGCTAAATAGATACAAATCTCATTAAGACCACCAGAAAATAAAACAAGGCAAAGTCAACACTTTTTGTGTGTGAATATTGTTTGTTTAACAAACCCCAACAGACCCTTCCACAGGAGCAGCTGTTACACTGATACCTACTTGGTGGGGCTGCAGGTGTGCAAAGCCTTCAAGTGTGGCTTCCAGGTTGCAATGGAAACGGATTTCTCATCTGCTGCATAACTGCGCCAAACACACTGCATGTGGCATAGACGAGGTCGGAAAAAGAGACGGTAAGAAACAGAATGAAATGAAAACGGAGATTATTAAGTTACTACACGTTAAGAATCTTTTCCTCATCATAACTATCCTGGATGAATTTCCAAAGGTAAAAGAGAACTTTGGCATGTCCAGTTGGCTAACACTATTCTGCACATCAGAATTGCTTTTTTCTCGGTTCATGAACTTAATTCTCACAATTCTGGTTGCAAACTGAGTTGCGTGAGAATCAAATCAAATTCGATGATTTGTAGTGTTTCTCCTATGTTGTATTCTAGCACTTTCGTTGTTTCTGGTTTTCAATGGTGTCTTTATGGAGAAACTTGATTCAGTTCTCACCCAGTTTGGTTTGTAACCAGAATCGTGGAGAGAACTGACAGAGGCACTAAATTGCATCTTTTCTTCTCTATGCATATTATACCTCAGTAAAATTTTTATAACTGCTGTGATACAGTAGAAAAATATGTGGTAGAAACCAAGGAATTTTTTTGTTTTCAAGAAGGGTTTCTAAAAATAATTGCTAGCAGAATTTTTTGCTTGAAGTCTTGCTCCTGTGGCTCATGTCAATGTAACTGAAAAAATCTGTGAAAATTTGTGCTAAGCATCTTAACATTTTACATGTAACAATTATCATCATAGCATCTTGAAGTGTTAGCTTTTGCAACCATGCACGCACAACTTTTAGCTATCTAGAATAATCAATGAAAACACATGAATTTAGTTTACAGCTCTTTCTGTAGTAATGAGACCAGCATGTTGAGGGCACAGGTGCTGCTTTTATTGAACAGTTTCCACTTGATCAACAGACTGGGATTCATAGAGCAGGTCCATGCATTAGTTAATTCCAGTTTAAAAAAATCCAAAACAACAACAAAAACAAAAATAGGACCAAGGCATTACTTGTTAATATTATAACAGGGGGCTCTTTGAGAAAATTAGTAATTTTCTTTACAGTAAGACTTGGATTCTTTGCTCTTTTTCTATAAAAGTAATCTTAGCAGCTAAGCTCTTTTCCCCCTCATTACTCTGCCCCTAAAAATGTCTTGTAAATGAGAGGTGCAGAAGGAGCAAGTGGTACCTATCACGGGGCTGTTACTATTTAACAATCAAAATGGAAGTGGAAAGGGTAATGCTATTACTTTTATATCTTAATAACATTGTCCTGTTCTTGCTCCCAGCTAATTGCTTCTAACAGCTGAGATTCAAACCCACATTCAGCTGAGCTAGTACCTGATGTTCTCATACTTAAGGCCCAAGTCACATAGTGGTTGCCAAGAGAAAAGTGATACCCCAGAGAGATTTCCTATGGCTAATTTACATGGTATAGTGACTTCAAAGGACAAGCTAACAAGAGGCATGGAAGCCAGATTTGCTACTTATCAAGCAAGGCTGGTGCTCTAAGTGGCCAAATGCAATTTGAACTTTGCTCTATAATTTTGTGTCAGGATAATTCAGTTTTAGGGGAGCATTATTTTGTATTGTCTGGAGTAGTTTACTTATGGCAAGGCTGACTATTTGTGGAAATGGTCCAGAAGGCTTCAGCTGGCCAACCAAAGCTCTGTTAACATGGAACTTACTTTTTTCAAAGTATGCAGTTTAGAATATTAATCCTACAAAATTTAGGGTGTAAGTCAACAATCCTTTCCCCCTTTGCATTAAAGTCTGCTTTTTAGCAGCAATCTCTTCAACTCTTATAGTTGTTGTTTTTGTTCTTAAGAATGCTTATTTTTAAGAATCATGCTCATAATTATATTTCTTGATTCTTCAGCTTCAGGCATTATTCATTAACCATGGCCTACTGAGTGCCATTTTCTTCTAATTTCATATTTCCAATATTTTTATATCACAATTTTAGTTAGTGTTTGCCTTACTATGAGCATGTAACTATTGTTGCAAGTTCAGCAGTATAATTTCTTGTGACCACTCTAACTTTCCTGTATAATACTTTCATTTTTCTTGGAGGGATTACTGCCCTATTATAATTTTCTGATTTGCCTTCATGGAGGTATTATAAACACATTCTTCATCTCATCTACAGATCTCTGAAGTTCTTCTTGTTAATATACCACAAAATCTGTCAGTTTGACATTTTGTACTGTTGAGGATGGCTTTTCTGGTGCTCACACCTCTTCCTCTAACAGCGTCCACCCTGCTGGGCCTGCTGTCTTGGGACTGTCCTACCTTTACCCTTTGCCTACCTTTTCCCCTTTCCTGCGTAGGAATTCTCATTTCCTGAATGCCATGCTTGTTACTCTCTTGGTTCATCTTGTTTTGGAAGAGCAATCCTATCTAGGAAGTTTTCTGGAGTCAAGGAAAATACTGATTTTTGAGGTTGTCTATGTGCAAACATCTTTGTGCTGCTCTTACACTCCATAAATGGTTTGGCTCCATATGGAAGTCCTGGTTGGATGTAATTTTCTTCCATAATTTTGAATGCCTTGTTTCACTGTCTTTTCATTTTAGAGTTACTAATGGGATAGACAGTGCCATCCTGACTTTTGATTCTTTGGATATGTGCTGACAGCATTTAGGATCTCTTTGTAGGTATTCTGATATCTCATTATAATGATCCTGGAATGAAATTATTGGTTTGCAGTGCTGGGCACTTGGTGAGTTCTTTTACTGTGAGTCTTTCTACCCTTTAGTTCCAAGAATCATAAAGTAATATTATCTGGTAAAATCCTCCCTTTAGTTTCCCTAGTAGTATAAGGTACCTGTAGTTGTTGGATCTTGAAACTCTTAGAAATGTCCCCAGATTTTCTTCTTTATCTTAGTTTTCATCTCTGTTGTTTTACTATATTCTCTGGAAGATTTTCACAACTTTATCTTCCCTTTTTTTCTGTCGTCATGTGTTTTGCCTCTAAGATTTTTTTTTCCTGTTTTTATTTACGACACACATTAAGAAAGATGTATCATCCCTGTATTAGTAGCCTGAGAGCATGTACTGTAACTTCACTTTAGGACAACTAGAAGAAGAGTAAGAAGCCAAAGTATCAATGTGTAATATTTTTGGGGTGTTAGTTAACTTCCTCAAGGATACATCTTCGAATCTTTTCTGTGAAGGAAATTAACACTATCTGCCAGCCTTGATCTTACAAATGCTCACCTAATTCCCCTGTTTCTTCTATTAAAGTGCCTTGGATCCACCGTGAATTGGTCTAGCCTCTCCAGGACGAGACCTGTGACATGAAGCTTCAGAAGAATCTTTAAGGACTAATCCCAAGGTTCCATAATGCAGAAAGGGGAATGCAGCACTGCTTTTGAAAGGAGTAAAGATTTGGATTTGAACAGATGGGATTCTAATCTATCCCCACCTAGACTTGTCTTGAGGATCAAGTGACATAATGCATTGGACGCACTCGGCAAACTGCAAAGTACTTCATGAGTCTTAGGTGTTATTAATGAAAGTTGTGACATTTGGGCAGGCATTCAAAAATGTTACCGAAAGCTGATTTCGTTTCTCAGACTGCTCCACTTGAAATGAAAAGTTAATTTCAATGAATCATGTGAAGATATTGACAGAGCTAAATGTGCTGCAAACTGCCAGGGGTTTAAACTTGTCACCAAAACCTTAAAATGCTAGTTAATTTAGTTCTTTCACCAACCAAAGAACAAAGCAATCTGGGCATCTCTCTTGCCCTTATAAGCAGATAGTGTCTTTGGTTTAAAACAAATGAGATCACTTTTGCTCTTGATGCCTTTTATGCTCAGCAAACCAAGTCAAGTTTATCAGGTAGGAATATGAATGGATCAGCATATGAGATATGATTTTTCAATAGAGTGTACCCTTAAAAATAACTTTCTAAAATCTATAATTAAGGCCCAAAGCTCTGAATCTTGCCCAAAGACTGTATCAAGAATAGTGAGCAAAACATTGTCACATTATTATTCTTATGCATGATAAATTGATGGCATTGAATGAGGAAACAGTCGCTTTTTAAATTAGCAAATTCGATTTTGATTTTTGAAACTACAGTCAGTTTTAAAGGCATTCTTAAATGTATCACTCCTTACATTGTACATTCTTTTCTGCTAAGAACAACATAAAATCTGAACTTTTAAATCAGAGAAAATTTCATGATTTGGGTGTATTACTATCTACATTTTTACAAGTTCAATTGCTGATTCAAACATGTTTTATATATTCAGTTACAAAAAATAAAATTTTAAGCCTCTAGGCAAAACTGTTCAATTAGCATCTTCTCTATGTTTTATGGGTAACCTAGCTTTATTTTGAGGAGGCCTAGCTTTATTTTGGATGTGTACATAGAAATACGTCTGCTCTGATGATTTAATGCAGAAATAGCAATTTATTTTTAAGTTCTACTGGAAATTGCTAACTTAGAAGTTTATAATGACAAATAGATAAAAGTATTTCTGCTTCCTTTGTCACCACTGATCTTGTGCAATGTGTTAGTCAATAGGTAGTTACAACCAGTGAACATTTGGGAAGTATCAAGTGCTACAAGTTTTAGATTTAATGAATTTTTATTTAAATAGCTGCAAGTAACTAGTGATTACCATATTTGTCATCATCATTGCTCTACAGCATCACAACTGATACATGCATCAGAAACTTCTCCAAGGGCTTATTTTTTTTCTTTCTTTCTTTTTTTTTCCTCCAAGAGCTCACTTCCTAACACAGCAGCTGATCCTCTAAGAGGTTTTATGTCCGGAAAGTGTGTTACTGGTTTCATATGTAGACAGGCCTTGGTGTCCAGATGAAATAAAAAGCCCTTTAAGATACTTTTAGTTCTCATGGGTTGGAAAGTATTGTTCTAGAGTAAAGGGAAATTAAGGATAAGAATAGTAAAGAGCAAAATTAGTTAGCTGTATGGAAGCATGAACCACCAGATAAAAGTACTAAAGGATGAAAGGCTCTGAGTCCTGGGCCTCAGGGAGACAGGTGCATGACCTGGTGTGTAACTCCTTTTCTCATTCTGGACACTATTGTTTGTCACCAGTTTCTAAATTCCTACTACTTAGGGACCCTTTCCTTTAAGGAAATGAAGTTTAGTTTCTGTTTTACACAACTAGGAAATTTTAAAAATGAAAACTCAGTTATTTTCATTAGAGGTCATACCCAATGACATATTTTTACATATTTTTTGTCAATATGTAGTTGCAGAATAACTTGATTAGAAAATGAATGCCCTAATTTAGTCTTTAGATACAAAGAGACCTTCATGATTCTTGGGAGCTGTACTCCTTGATCTCTCCTCTAGCTCCATTCCTTTTGGAGGGGCTGCATACCACAGCTACAGATCAAGGCTGATATTGATATTACTTTCTATTAACTTGGTCACTCAAATCTGCAATCTCAATTAAAGCAACATGCTTGTTACTGCAACATGGAGACACATCTCTTAGGATCTTGGTTTGCGATCCCAAACAGCTCCAATTTAGAAGTTCTAAAACTTCATCTGTCTGGCAGGAGGAGAAAAATGTAACTGTAGAATCATCTTGCCCATAATTAAATGCCAATTCGATATTATGGGTCTGGAAAATAATATAATTTGTGATTCTTTACTTGGTTTTACTTCCAAAAGATGTGGACAATGAAAGGAGAAGCATTTCTTTTAGAACTAAAGCAAGTCCTGAATTCAGGAAAGAAAATGCTAAGTCATGTTGGTCTTCTAATAACATGCTTATTGTTTCATATTCTCCATAATCCTTCCAGCTCTTAACATAGGATACTATTTCAAGTTATTTCCCCACATGGCATTAAAAGAAGTTCCTCAGGTACTAGAGCTTGATATTCTAAACAGGTAGATTGTTTTTCAGAACGATGGTAAACATTGGCTGAGAAAGTAATTGTAATGCAGGCTGTACCACTTAGTGGTCAGTTATGTTCCGCCTTGTAATTGGTAAGACATCCTAGGTCATTCCCAGAGCAGCACAGCTGCTAACCTCCACACATCCTTGCTACATGGTTAATTGTTTGAACAGTGCATGGTGTATTTTTCTGTTTGGGAGAAGGGAAACATCTGCCCAGACCCAAGTCCTGTCTTCATTTTTAGAAAGGCAATGAAGCACAGAGACTGGAAAGCCACTCGCCAGGCATCCGTGGAGACAGATGTTGCCATCTTCCTATTGCACTGACATTTACCTGAATGAGGTTGGCAGCTGGGTTTCTTCTCTTCTCGAAGTGTTTCTGGCGGTGTTGTTCTTGTACTTTTAATGCAAAACCTGAGCCAAGAATGCCCTGGAACAAAATATAAATATAGAACTTTTTAAAAAATTCAAAAGCCCTGTCGAATAATACACAGATTTTTAAAAAACCTTGAAAATGAGTCTGAGACAAGACAAATAATATGTAATCTGTCCATAATAAAAATGCTACTTATTAAAACAAACACTGTTATATTGTCAGCTAATGGCAAGTTGTTGGGCAACATTGCCAAGAGGCATAACAACTTCTGTTCTTTAGCAAGTCATCCTCCATCGTCTTTGGTGGTAGAGTAAGAGGCACTACACTTAAAAATAAAAATGACAGTTAAAAAATGAAAGGGATTCTTTGTGATGTTTCTTTATGCTTGAATTTGAGTGAGTGGTTTTATTCAGTGACACAATTTAGAAAACCTGAACTTTTGTTTTACACAGCTGGGGTCTGAGTTGGGAGAGTTAGTCTTGCTGCTGTTCCCTGGGGAGTCCCTGTAGCACTTTGGTGAGACTGAACGTGCGTACCCTCCATCGTGAAGTGCGGGAAGGGTGTTTCAAATCTGTCCCAGCTGTAGCCCTTCATGAAGTTTCGGTTCTACGTGTACCAAAATATCAGAGAAAGGGGGACAGCTATCCAGATGAGATGAGCAGGCCATCAGTTGTGGAGCTAGGGAAGGCGTCTTCAAATAAAGACAAGAGTATGAATCATTATGAAGCACATTCCTGTTTTCCTCTGTTTTAATCAGGCACTGTTAGCATTGCTTACTTTTTTGGTTTTTGGCTCACCTATTTCGATTTTGGGCTTAGTAAGGTTAGTATCCCCTTCCATGTTTACATGAGCTTTGGACTAGTTTGCTTTCCTTCGATTTATCATGCAGATCTGCCAAAAATCTGCTTCTTTGATGTTCTTTTCCCTTTTCAATTTGCTTTGGTCTCACATTTGTGAAATCAAGATGCTTTTTGTCTCAGCCTCGGGTTGACTTTCAGAGCTTGCTATATTCAGTCTCTGGGCTTTGTCTATACTCTTGATTTTATTAGTATGAGCTTGGGGCTCCTCTTCTTTCAAGTTGGTGGATTTTACTTGCTAGCTATAAATTATTAGCTTTTTATTAAACTTCAAGGAGACTAACCCCTAGGTTAGAGATGGGCATCTTATAAGCATGAAGTCAGTATTTTCCATAGATAAGAAATGCTTTCTTTTTCTTTCAGTAGTTCAAAGATGATATAGACTGCCTGGATAGGTGGTGGGTTTTCATCTCTGGGAGGTGTTAAAGTCTCAGCTGGTGACAGCTTGGCTGACATATTTTGGGGCTCCAGATAGCCTTTAACCTTCTTCCTTATTTTGAGATTCCACAATTCCAAGCACATTTGTGACAAGATCAGACAATAACTAATGCAATCGTGTTTTGCATACACAAATACTCTTTGCTATTAATGAGGAATAATCTACTACATTATTAATTAGGACAAATGACTGTACCTTGAAATTAGCAATGATCTCATAGGCTCTGTTTTCCATCTCTTTTTTTTTCAGTGTGTGTCTTATGCTGGCTAAGATCTCCATCTCATACAAGTTGTGATTACACAAACTAAGCTTTATGAAAACCTGGTTTCTGTGATCTGGTTTGTACATTTAAACAATATTTGCCTTTTATAACTTAGAGGTTATAAAAACAGCTTTCCATTTCCAAATTCAGATCAACTCAAGTCATTTGAAATGCCTACTATTTTCCTTTGTAAAATAAAGTTTGATTGATTTATTTTCCTCTTAATATCATTTTCTTTGTGGGATAAACATATGAGAATATAAATCATCAGAATTTATAGCACTTATTTATAACATGTGTTAGAAGTATACACATTGCATACATGTTTGTATGTAGCGTGCTCTTCTAGAGAACAATTCAGAGTTTTTAGAAACTGAATTAGCAGCGATAATAGCTATCATTTTTAAGCACTTATCATGTGGATATGAGGTTCAGTATTAAATCTCCCTCAGGAAATGAGAACAGGTCCTATAGCCCAAATCTAGTATTTACTAACAAACTTAAATGCACAGAAAATCACACTGATAATGCTGAGAAGCATGTATTAGTAGATGGCAACTCTTTGTTCCATATCTCTTGTGCCAGACTGTACATTACAGCCATTATTAAACCAGGTCTGTTCATTGTCTCATTATGGCTCTTTTCCAGTTTTCTTCCACCTCTCTCTGTATATACAATTCAGTGCAGCTAAACAGAAGTCTTTTTAAGTCTGTATAGACACACACACACACACACACACACACACACACACACACACCTGTTTAATCTTGGTACATATGTGCCAATCCTTCAAAGTGGACATCAATAGATGAAAATACTTCAAAATGAGCTTTGTTTTCATCCATTTTGTGATAAAAAAGACTCAAATTTTTAAGTTTTAATTTTAGTATTAGGCTTAAAGAGATGTATAAACACTAAAGCCAAAATAATGTTTTGGCAAACATTTTAAGTATTTATTCCTACTTACGTTGTTTTCAATTAAATAAGCCTATTTTATACCTCACACATGGCAAACAAGCCATGCTAAAATATTTTCAACAGTTGTTAATATTTTATAATACAATCATCATATTTGTTAATGCTGCTAATGATTATAGGTATTGATAGTTATCGAAAGGTTAATGTTAAGTCAAGCAGAACAAGTCCTCCCATTGACCTTCCTAGCTGGAGATCTTAAGGAATTCAACTTCCCCGAAACTCATGTTTTTCTTTATTAGTGGATGAGAAACCTGTCATGGTATCTCATCCTCCTCTCTCCTCCTAACAGGAGGAGAGATCCCTTGAGGGAGGAGAGCAACACACTTGCCAGGGTGATGTGGAAGAGCTGGGGTTGCCACTGGGGCCCCAAGGAGAGTAAGCGACTGCCAGTGGAGGCTTGGGAAGCATTGCTGCTTACAAACTTTTGTGTTTGTTTGCTGGGCAGGCTCTGCACCACTGAGCTAAATCCCTATCCCTTGGGAAGCATAGCTTCAGCAGTGGGCAAGAGTCCTTTCACTTTGAAGGTAAGACGGTCCCTCTTCCTCTTCAAGTTGCCTGGGTAGGAGCAGCTCAAATTCACTTCTGACTTCCTCAGCAAGATGCCAACATGTTCTCTTAAGTTCAGTCATACAGCACTGTTGACTGACAGATACGGAGGATAAAGTGATAACTCAGCACTAGCTGTGAGGTCACAGGGAAAGCCACAGTGGAGGTTGCTTTTGTTGACAATGATAGGACACTGTTTGATGACACTGTTTTAGGCATCCACATTTTTCAGATTTCCCACATCTGTTAATTCAAAACTATAAACGCTTTATTGGAAACACTTCCAACACTGATTACTTAGTGTCAGACCTTAGCCCAACCTATTGACTAACCCCTTTGTAACATTTGACTGTGCTGGATGCAGCTGGCTTCCAGAGGTGAGAGAGCTGAGTACTAATGGTCCCATTGGCCCCAGCAGGTCTTCTCATATTTTGAATGACTAGCTCTCCTTGGTTCTTACAGATTTTGTTTCCTCTGCCTTGTGGAGTCTTTCACCATTATTTTCCTCTGTTTTGGTGTTTATTCTATCAGCCTCCCCCTACATTTGCTGTTTATATATCTACAAAGAATTGTGAAACTATATAGTTAAGTTTATTGGAATTTTCTCTGCTAATGAGGACTGAGTTACAAATTAGTTTTCAAGTAGCTCTCTTATGGAACCACCTCGTGTCTTATTTAACAACTCAACAATGTCTGTGGTCTCAGGCTAAATAGAAACCCAAAAGCAGCAGGTATTTGTGCCACTATTCTAGAAAAAAAAAAAATCAAGACTCCATTTTACTGTTTCTGAAGGTGTTTTCCCCGCAAGGAATTTGATAACTGAGTGAGTCTCTCTGCTCTGTTTGTTCTGTTTTAGATTGTTAAAATTTCCAGGTGAGTTGATTTTGGATAAATGAGGGTTTTTTCTTACCTTTTTTGATTTCATCATTTTGTACTTGGAAACATGTATTTTTATATTAAGAAGTAACATGGAGTTTTCTTCAAAACAAGCACGTACTATCACATAGGTATTCACCAAATTTCTCTGTGCTCTTTAATTCTTAACTTGTAATGATGAAGAAATATTCTCAAATCAGTGTTCTAAGCTGCATTATGCCCCCTACCCCAATTCTTATGGTGGAATGGGAACCCCTATACCTCAGAATCTGAAGTTATTTGAAGACAAGGTCCTTACTGAGGTAATCAAGTTGAAATGGGGTCATCAGGATGGGCCCTCAGCCAATATAGCTGATGAAGAAAGAAGAAATCAGGACAGGGATGAAATGAAGACAGAGAATGTGTCCATGGACAAAGCCAAGGAGAAAGGCTGAGGCAGATCTTCCTCCCAGCTCTCAGAAAGATCAACCCTACCAGCACCTTGATTTCAGGTTCCCGGAACTGTGAGATAGTAGTACCTTTCGTTGTTTAGCACAGCCAGCCCATGGAATTTTGTTGCAGCAGCTCTAGCAAACTAACATTGTCACACAGTACGTGAGACAGTTTCAAACTGAGGCCCAAGGCCTGAGCAGAAGCAAATCCCTTTTAGTCTCTTTTCAGTGATTTTGAATGGCTCAGGGCAGAGCCAGTTGGTCAGTGAGGAGTTGGCACTGGCTACCAGAAGGACAAGGGTCCTCTGCTTTCATTGCCAGGCAGAAGAGAAACCTGGAAGCTAAAGGCTGTGGAGCTGCAGGTCCCCATGTGACTTCTGACTCGCCTGATCCCCTGTGGGGAGCACTTTGGGTTTCTGGGTGAAGGTTGTACCAAAGCCTTAGCCTATGTCTGCAGCAAGTCCTTGTCTGTTTCCTGGGGACAAGAACCCCAGGCCACTGCCTCAACCATCCTTTCTGGTGTCTCCCTCACCCCTGCCCCAGGTAGAGTGACCAAAGGTGAGAGTTGGGGATGGGGCAAATAGTACTATTTTGACAACTGCTTTTAAACAAGCAAGAAGATGGAATGATCCAAATGGCAAGCTTCATCCATTAGGCAGAAAGTAATCAGAAGCAAACAGGAAGATATAAATGTGCTATTCATTCTGATAAAATACAGAAACTGCTATTTCAAAAAAAAAATCAGTGACAGAGACACAATGAATAAATCATGAAACACATTTAAAACCATTTAAGGTCATATGCTTTTCACTCAAATGGACCTGAAGAGGAAAACATTCCACAGACATGCATCTGTCTCTTTAGACGCACATATTATAAGCCAGATGGGAACAATCAGTTTAGGATGAACATATCTTTAAATCTTTACAAATACTTTAAATATATTAGTGGCATATTGGCTGAGAGGTAATGCCATTTGAATGGTTATTTGACCATAAAAAACTAGCTGGTATTACAGTCTCAAGTGCCTCTGAGGGAAGGCCATATTTTATGAAGTATTTACCTGGATATATTTAGAAAAGTCAATATTATATTAGAAAAATGGTTTTGTCAGTGACACAGGTAGGTTCCCAAGTATTCCAGTTTGTGACAGCTTATTCCTGTAAACCTCTAAAATCGAATTTAAACTGCTTTATTGTTATAAAGATACTTACCGGACCAGGGATTTAGCTCAATGGCACAAGCACCTGCCTTTTGTCAAGTGCAAGGTCATGAGTTCGAACCCTTACCAAAAAAAAGATACTTACAGCAGGGAGTGCAAAGAAGGAAATGCCCAGGAGTGCGAAGCCTGCAGAAAGCAACCTTCCCAGCCAAGTTAGGGGCGTTTTGTCTCCATAGCCAATAGTTGTCAATGTGATCTAAAAACAAAATAAACAAAACATTCAGCCTAAGTACTTGAGAGGGAAGTTAGGACCCATAAGCGGGAGGCAAAGCAGCATTTCCACTAAATCATTATTCAACATGTCTCGTTGGCATATTTTATTACTGAACTTTAATTTTCCATGACGCATAACAAGACTTCTCTTTGTTTAAGGAAAGGACTAACTTACATACTTGTTCTACCCCTTTAACACAGTTTTTCATCTTTACAAGTGTATTGCATAGAAAGGTTAAGTAAGCAGATAACCACTAGCAATGTAGAAATGATAGTACCATGGGTTTGGGATGGAATCCATATCCCAAGTAATCATTTATGTTAATGAAGGCTGTGCATTCATTACTTTGGCAAGCTCTTCCTGAGGTCCTGGTGCATGTGAGGTACATATTATATAATGCTATAATGTTATCATTTGTAGTGGAACAGAAATCGTAGTAAGGGAAGTGTGTCACACACAAATAACTGAACTATGATGGGAATTATGATGGAGACACACTCACCTTCTGTAGGAGTTTAAGGAACAGATTGGTTATATGAGTTTGAGGGTTGAGAGTTACTGGAGAAGCAATGTCATCAGACTGAGGCATTGAAAGAAGGGCAACATTTTGAAAGGCAGAAAAGATAGGACTCTGAGGAAGGGAAACAGGTGACCAGTAGCAGAACGGCAAATACAACACAGACGGTTCTGGACAGTGTATCTTGTTCAGCTGGTGGTTTCTCCAATTTCTCTCATTAGCATTTCATGGTTTTCCATGTATGGATCTTTTGTTTTCTTGGTTGGATTTATTCCTCAGTATTTTACTTTTTGATACCTATTACAAGTGATACTGTTCTCTTGGTATCTTTTCCAGTAAGTTTGTTATTACTGTATACTTGTGTGTGTGTTATTTTTAATCCTGCTGAATTATTCATTTTGGTTCTCTCTCTCTTTCTCTGCCTCTCTCTGTTCTTTAGAGTTTTCTCTATAAAGATAATACCATCATAAAACAGTAATAATTTCACTTTTTCTCCAATTTGGATGCCTTTTTAATCCTTTCTCATCTGGTTGCTTTGGTGAAAAATTTCAGTACTCTGTTGAATAGAAGTGAGGTAAGTGGTCTCTCTTGTCTTATTCTGGGTGTTAAATGAAAGTCTATCCATTTTCCTCCTGTAAGTAGAATGTTAGTTGTGGGGTAATTATATATAATCTTTATTGCATTTTTGCAATATTGCAATGTTAATGTAATCTTTATTACATTTTTGTATACTTAATTTGTTGAGAGTGTTTTTTTAATCCTGAAAGGATTTTGAACACTGTGAAACACTTTTTCTGTATTGTAAAGGTTGATCCATTGTGTCAACTTGAGAAAATTTGAAGTTTAACTAAGTGACACAGCGGGGGCCAGAGTCCTCACTTTGTAAAAAACCTCTTAAGCCTGTGCAGAGATGGTGTGAGTGCTACACCCCCCTGAGGGTGGGGAGCCTGCTTGCAGTATAAGGGAGAAAAAGAGGCATGCTCTCCACCCTTTTCGGCTTCTGTTGCTTTTGTCATCTTCTGCATTCTTAAACTGTTGCCCCTGTGCCATGCCACCCCGCCTTGGAGCTAGCGGATTATGAACTGAAACCTCCACAACTTGAAGGCTGATGAAACCTTTCCTTCCTTAATTTTGGGTGTTGGGTATTTTGTCTCAGCAATTAGAGAAAAGTAACTAAGACATATATCCCAATGAGGTGATCTGAAATAAAAGAAACACAAAGATGAATAGTGCATGTGCTCACTCATATGAGGAATCTAAAACAATCTAAAGGCAGAGAATAAAATTGTGGTTACCAGAGGCTGTGGGGTGGAGAGCCATGAGATGATGATCAAGGGATACAAGCCTCAAATAGGAGAAAAAGGTGTGTTTTTTGAGATCTATTGCACAGAATTGTGAATGTAGTTAATAATAGTGTATAGTACATTTGAAAATGGCAGGAGTAATATATTTGTTGTCACCAAAAAAACAAAAGAATTTGAAGCCATGGATACATTAATTAGTATGATTTGATTATTCTATGTTGCATTAATAAATTATAACATCTTTTGAATCCCACAGATATATACAATAATACTTGTCAGTTTGTAGTAAAAAAGAGAAAAGCATTAGTGAAAGAGGAACTAACAAAACATGCTAAAGGTAGATCAAGGGATATCTTGCTTTGGTAGAGTTTATTTTACTTCTGTGTTCTGTGGTGCTGGGTCTCAAACTCAGTGCTTCACACATGCTAGCCAAATTCTGCCGCTGAGCTGTATCCCTGGCCCCTCGGGAATGCCTTTGAGAATGATAGTCACACACGTGGTCCAGGAGCTTCCTGTATCCCAGCTCCTTTCCGTGCCGCCATGATTCTGCATCAGCAGCCTCAGCCCACACTGTGTGGTCTTCCATCACACTCCATCTCATTCTCCTCCACCACATGCGTCCTGCCCTTCAGCAGCGCACCAACTCTTTCCTTATTTCAGGTATCGCGGACTTGCTGTTTTATTTTTGGGTTTCTCTCACTCTGAGGTCTCCATTCAGTTAGTGGCTCAACTGTGAGTGCCACAGAAATACCATCCCCAGTTAATGGGTCCCACCCAGGGTGCAAATGGGAAGGAAGAATAACTCTTAAAATCCCACAGCACCTAACTATGGCTGCCAAGGGTAACTATGATATCAAGATATAATAGATTAGTTCAAAATAATTAGTGGAGAAGATTTTGAATGTTCTCCAGATATATGATAATGTGGTACAATGAAAGATATGTTGATTACTTTGATCTGAAGATTATCATATATGTGTGAGTCACACTCTGCTCATAAATATGTACAATTACATAAAACATATCAATTAAAATAATTTTTTAAAAAAGATTAGCCCATTTCACCCCTTAAGATAGTTCCTTGCTAACTGTCCTCTCTATCCTCTGTTCATTTGTATGTATTTATAAAAACATCAGTGTCTGAAATGGTATTTCGTGACTAGATTTATTTCTTTCCTGTTTGACTTCACTACCTAACAGTAAACTTCACTTGAGCTGTGACTGTGTCTTGCTCTCTGCTGACAGCCAGTGCAGTGACTGGCATATTATAGTTAATAAATATGTACTGAATAGATACACAGAAACATTGTATGGTGAGAGAAGGGTTCTGCTCCTTGTTTTGAGCTGAGAAATACACTTAGAAAAGGTTTTTTTAAAGCACTGCACACTATTGTGGTGCTTTGGAAATTGAAATTATGGCTGCAAATGTACTGAATGGACTGGAACAGGAAGAAATGAGAGGCAGGGAAGACAGTCAAAAGAATACAGAGCAGTGCAGAGTAGAGACATGTATAAGAAGTTCAACAGAAATACATTTATTCATTGTCTAGGGTGAAGGTGAAGACTAAGTCAACAATGACTTGAAAAGTTCAAATGGAAAGACGTTTGTACCGTAAATAAAAATACAATCATGAAAGGAGAAGGTTTTAAAGGTGAAGAGCTGTTTTTTTCCAATAATGGTTCTTAAAATGTCAGTACTGCTCTGATGTAGAAATGTCTAGCAGGGATTTGAGAATACAAGCTTGAGCCTTGAGAGAAAGATCAGCTTGGCATGAGATCTGGGTTTGAAATCCCGCATGGGGTGGTCGTCAAAGCTTTGAGCACACAGGAGGTTACAGAGAGTGCCAAGAAGGGGCCTAAAAATACCTCAGGAAACAGACATTTAAGGGGTGAAGGGAAAGAAAAGTAGGAAAACTATTTTTAATGAGGTTACATGAATGAAACTCCATGGAGAAGAAAGAAAAACTTTCACAAATGACCAGTGGTCCCTGATGCCACAGGCCAACAGGAAACCAGGAGAGTGAGGATCAGGGCAGGTAGACTTGTGGAGGTGGACGGTCCGTGATCTCCTCCTGCCATCTTCCCTGGGCATTGGAGGGGGTAATGCTTTGAGAAGCGGAAATGATAAAGAAGGAGATAAATGCTTCTGTGCCAGGCCTTTCAAAAGCCCTCAACACCTATCCACGAGGCACACTCCCCCTTTACCCCTGAGCTTTTCCCTCTGTATTTTTTGGTAGCATCTTCTCTGTGGCTTCTCTTACACTTTGCAATCATTGAATACTGAATTCTTAAGGTTTGGCTTTCGATCCTTAAAACAGTTATTTTGGGGATTTCTTTTTTTTTCTTTCTTTTTTTCCCCTCTTCTCAGGTGATGGTAAGTGTTCTGATGGATTTAAGTACCACTTCTGTGCTGAACACATCAAATTTAAACTTCTAAGCCAGGCTACCCTTGTGAGCTCTATATCCACAGGTCTGCATTTGATACTTCTGTTCGGATGTCACATAATCATTTAAATTTACATGGTTAAAATAGAGTTCTTATTTCTCCCAGTTTCTATCTCTTGCTATTTATTTTTAGACAGAGTCTCACTATATAGTTCAGGCTGGCCTTGAACTTGCAGCAATTCTCCTGCTCCAGCCTCCCAAGTGCTGGAATTACAGTCATGCACCACCATATCTGGCTATTCTGCTATTTTAATCAATGCACTTGCTCATACCAGAACCCTCAGTCAACCTACTTTCTTCTCTCTCTCTTGCTCCCCTCACTAAATTGATCCACCAGTCCTGCTGATTCTATTTCTTTAATATATTGCTAATTCACCTCTGATGCCCATTTTCACAGCTTCCCTGGGAGACCAAGAGGCTCCAAATAGCCTCTTAATTTCTTTCTCTTCTTTTGTTTTGCCTCTAGCTGTCTATATACCTGAAAGAGGTATTACTGTCATATTCCTCTCTAAAAATCTTTCAGTGGCTATCTACTGAATTCAGAATAAATTCTAAGTTCTCAGCTCCTAACCATGGCCCTGATGATCTGATCCCTGCCATCCTTTCCAGGATCATGCATTGCCTTCTGCACTTTGATGATGGTAGCTTCCCAGTTCCTCCAGTAAGCCAGGGTCTCCCTTCACCCCTGCACTTGCTGATTCTCTTCCAAGGGCTCCTTCCATCTTTAGGTCTTACCCAAAAATCATCCTTCATTACTAAGGCCACCTCCACCTACCTCTGGTTAATATTTCAGCTCCTTGTTTCTTGATGCTACTTATCACAAGTGGTAGTTTTCTACTGAACTGTTTCTGAGTTTTCCTTTGGGAAGGGGGTCCCCATGCCCTTATCAGAAGGGGGAATCATGGTCTGTTTTTGTTATCTCCCAAACATCTAGCATGATGCTTGCCATGAAGTAGAAAGAACTCGCTGTTTAGGAAATAAATGAAGGAGCCTTTTAAAACAAATGTGGTGAGAAAAGCTCAGGAGAGGCTTGTGTGTGGCTACAGAGAGGGTGAAACTGAGGGAAGGGGCCTCCTGGTGGGGTGAGGTCTGCAGTGAGGTGGAGGAAATAGAGGCCAGGATGCAGCGGCAGGGCTCAGGCTTGGCAGAGTGGGAGGACCTTGTGGGCCGAGCCTGGGTGGAGGAAGGTGAGGATGCCTTCACCATATCTATCAATCCCAGCAGAGCAGAAGGGGTTCCGCAAGGGCAGCAGAGGAGAGGGCTTAGCATAGGGAGGATGACAGAAGGTGGTGGGGCACCCGGAGGAGGTGGAAAGAAGCTTGTGGGCAGTGGGGTGGGAGGAAAGAGCTTCCCAAGGTCAGAGAGGGGTGCAGCAAAACCTGGTTGCCAAGGGAATTGGATGTCACCACCAGCACCAGTTGGGGACTCTCAAAGCAATTACTTGAGAAGGCAAATCAACAACAAAAATTGGCTCCATTTTATTTTAGTAAAGATTACTAATTTTAAATATGTGGGAAAAATTTTAATGTACCATACTTTTTTTTTTTTTTTTTTTGAAAAATAGCTTAACTTTTTCAGGAGCTATTTTTTTTGAAAAATAGCTTAATTCTTAATGGTCTGCTGAAGAAGAAATTTCACAGTTTGGTCATAGTCAACAATGTTACAGTTCATATTTGTTTTATAATCCCAAAGCACATTTGAGTTATTCCGTTTGGCACAAGGGCTCAGACAATGGGGTTTAAACCACTGTTTTCAGGTCAGGGGAATAGGACAGAGCCCAGTGATAGCATGCTCTGCCTTATCTCTAGTAGAAAATAGACCTTGCTCTGTCATTCTGAATTTTAAGGTCATCCTGTCTCTTGGCAGATGGTTTGTGCAAGAGCCTCAGACACACCGTGGACTCCCATGGGCAGGTATAGTGTGAACTGGGCCCATCTTCTTTCTGCCCTCTGGTTCCAGAGTCTGGGACAGACACATTCAAGGTGTGGACTGAGGGTGTCCAGCAGTGGAGCTCCTCTACTCTGGCTTCAGAGATGCTTGGGAAATTTCTTGTTGAAAATTTTAGGATCTTCCGTTGAGCCACCCTAGGCTTGAGAAGGATTTAGAAACAAGTGGTAGTTTGTCATCCTCCGTGCAGCAGAAATTTCTTTTATTTTTTTGTCTAGAGATTTAACATCTTCTTCTTCCTTGTCTTCTCCATATCCTTCTTCTTTTTTTTTGGTAGCACTGTAGACTGAACTCAAGGCCTTCTTGTTCAGTTACATTCCAAGCCCTTTTAAACTTTTATTTACTTTCAGCAAGTTCTGGCTAAGTTGGTAAGGTGCCCAGGGTGGGCCCAAATCTGCAGTTCTTTTGCCTCAGTTTGTGGAATCACCTCACTTTTGCACATGCAAAGGGGACAACTGAGTTTTGTGATGTGAACAAAAAGGTGGCACCAGACAAAATTATGAAGGTTTAGAATGAAAAGTTACAAGGATCCTCCAAACTGACCCACCTGGGTGGCCTAGCTGCCAACTTTCTCAGGTGAGGACCAGCTACATTTGAGAACTATCCTTTGCTGAGCTCTGCATAGAAATTCGTGGGTTTTCTGCACTTGCAGGGGAAGCTACCCTTAGAGTACCCATCACAGTTGTTCAGTTAGAATACTGTGACTGCTTGCATGATGTTTATCATCTTTTCCTAACACCTGAAAAGCCTTGCTGATGGGACTCAGTTGTCCTTTGGCACAGGAACTGAGAACAGAAGCTCTCTTGGACTCACTCTCCCATGCTTATGCTAAAGAATAAACCATTCCTACTTCTGAGAGCTCTTATGTAGGTTGCAAGTCAGAGAAAGGAAGGCCACACAGGACCCTGAAGACACCAATTCTCAGGGTGCTTGAGGAGAGGCCAGAACAGTGACTTTTTCCCAAGACTTTGAAGAGGTGAACCTGGGCTCATGCCTGGACTTCCCAGGGGAGCTGGGATGGGACCCATGAGTTGTTTTCTAGAAAATCTCCGCACAGATCTCCACGATCCCAGCAGCAGCCTGGCATGGGGAAACGACTTGTCTTGTGGCATCTCATCATCTCTATTGCAGCTGCCCCCACACTGAGTGCCACAATGACTCCATGTGAAGGGCAGATGGTGATTGTTAATTACAGCACACAGTTAACAGTGATGTGGGCTGCATGAATTTAAGAACAAAAATTGGTTTCCGAAAACATAATATCTGCAATCTACTGTTGTAATGCTATTGTGATAAAATACCTCCCATGAGATATCAGTCTCTGCTTCTGTCTCTGTCCCTCTGTCTCTATCTGTCTGTCTGTCTCTCGTCTTCTTGGGATTTTCTTTTTCTGAGTCAGACTCTCCCTATGTAGACTTGAACTTACTATGGAGCCCAGGCTGGCCTTGAACTCATGCCAGTGCTCTTTTCTCAGTCTCTTGAGGGCTGTCATTATAGAAATGCACCACCATGCCTAACTCTTTTGAGGCACAGTATCACTACATAGTACAGACTGGTTTCAGATTTGCCTCGCCTTACCTGGGATCTCAGGCTGCTGCTGCGACCATGGAGATCTATAAGGTAAGCCTGGTATTCAACATTAAACAAGTAAAATAGTTTTCCCTTCATCTTCTCCTGCATGTGTAATCCCTTATCATCCTACAAGTGTGTATTAGCTTTTCCATTGCTGGGTACAACATTCACAAGTTAATAGCTATTGCTCATTGTTTCAGGGAATTCAATATATGGTTAGCTGGCTCCAACGAGAAACATCATGGTAGAAGGCAAGGCAGAGGGAGACTGCTGATTTGGGGGTGTTTAAGAAGCAGAGCACAGAGAAATAGCACCATAAAAGGAGGAGGCAGGGGCCAGATACAGACCCTATGGCCACACCTCCCTTACTGTTCCAGATATACCTGGAAGTGTGCTCCAGCAACCCTCTGGATGAGTCCCAGAGCTAATCATGTTGATATTTTACCCTAAAGGCTACACCATGCACCTGACGTGTAGACATGGGGGCTGCATATAGTGGACAGTAGGGCTAGAATCAAACTCAAATATCTTTGTTCATTTTGGATGAGCTAAGAAGATGCTTCATAGCTGTGCATGGGTGGTTTAGGTGAGGATGACAAGGATCCAGTGGGTGCAGAATGCCAAGAAGAACCAAATTGTTGCCAGTTAATGGGTTTTCCTTATACTAGTAAATTTTAGATACTGTAATTCCTGAGTGAAGCATTTAATTCTTTTCTAATATATACAGGATTAAAAGGTGCATCGCAATATATCAATTTGCCATCTGCACAGCAGATGTCTTCCAAGGGAATGACTTCAACCACAGTGCAGTTGAATCAACATAAAATAAAGAGTGAATCTTAATGTTCTTTGAAGGTGAGATACTTTTTTGAAATTATATATCAAATCAGATAGTCACAAAATATTTTATACTAATCTAAAGTACATAAATGTATATTGGTTTCCTATTACTCTGGCTGAAGATGTATTCGGCAATTGGGATTATAATCCATTATTTTCATAAACTTCACCCATAATGTATCATTTTTCTTAATTATAATTTATAAATTCTGTCTCCTAGTGGAACATGAAGTCAACTTTTGTGGACTTATCTGAGCCTCCTGCCCCCAGTAACAGAATTAATTTCAGAATAGAAAATACAAAATTTTTCCTTTCTTTTTTAATATATGCTTTGATCCCTCTTTCTTTTAAGTAACAAATAACATTTATTTCCCTGATTATGAAGATACAGTTATCAATACAGTTATCATTAGCTTGTAGCTAATGTACTCACATGAACAGGTTAACATAACTGTGTTTCTTATTTCCACAGCAGAGTACAGTGTCTAGAGTCCTAGATATTTAAGGCATTTTGCTCACAGTTGTATGTTCACTCCTGGTTTTAGAGCAATGTTTTGTGGCATTTTAATTTATTGAGCTTTTCTAAGGCATCTTATTCCATTTTCATAAGGTCTTTTTTCTTTCGGTATCAAGTAACATCAGTTTATATAATAACATGAAATTAACCATGACATTATAATCACAAAAACAATAGGCATAAAAACACTTAGGAAGGGATATATTGAACTCTGCAAACTTTCAGACAAGGTAGAACAGGATTCTGGGTATGCTGGGGAGCATCTGTTATGTCAGTATGCTTCATAGGAGAGATGTCTTAATTACTTTCCACTGTGCCGGCATAAATTACCTAAACCCCACAATTTAAAGGTAGAAAGGTTTATTTTGGCTCACGCGTTTACTTCCTCGTTAGCCAACTTCAAGACAACAAGGAACATGGAAGAAGGGTCTGGAGGAAAGTTGCTTTGTCACGGCAGCCAGGAAGTAGAGAGAGAAGGGAGAAACTGAGAAGGAAGACGCCCTTCAGGGCCACACCCCCGTGACCCACCTCTTCTGACCAAATCCCAACTCCTGTTATAATACCCAGGATTCAGTCACCTTCACAAAGCCTGCCTAGGAGACTGTGGGGAGTCATTCAGATACAAACCATAACAAGGAAGAGTGACAGTTACTCTCCTCTGACCGGTAAGTGAAGAGGAGGTTAAATTATGACAGCCTATGTTTTAAAACAAATACAATATTTATATGAATGGGTAAGCAAACAGAATGGTATTTTGTGAACTTTGCTTTCCTACACACATGTCTAAGTGTGAGTTTTTGCTTGCATGCCTATGCATAAGAGATGAGATGGAGAAGTTTAGACCGCTCTATTGAATATCATTCTATTTCTGACCTAGTCTCAGAGTATACAAAAGGTGTGCCAGTTCACATATGCAAGATAGATTAAATCTGTATCAAAAATTTTTCCATGATGCCTACTTGGTGATGCCTACTCACTGACTTTGAAATATGATATTTTCCATATCACTGGAAAATAATAATATAGTTTTAAATTGGATTTCAATAATTTAAAAATAAACAAAATTAATATACAACATCTCTTTCTGCACAGTTTTGGGCAGAGTCACAGTCTCATCAAATGAGATGATGTTATTTGCTGACATACTTCATGATCTGGGATAGAGGCTGGCAGATGCATTGCCAGGTGTCACGGCAGGACGGGTCCTGGTCTTGGTGGCAGGACCAGTTCCCTCCTGCGGCTCCACTGCAGCAGTCCTCAGGGGCCCTTGGCAGTGTCTGCCATCTGTTCTGGTAGACCTTTTACTTGAAGGCGACTTGGCAGGTGTGAGTGCCTCAGAGTGATGTTTGCCCATCTGTCCCATATGCTCAGTTATACTCGGGCCCATCAGAAATGATACCTTCTGAAAACTTGTGGGTTGAAAAATTTTTGTGTAATGGTATAATACAGGTAGCAACCTCAGACATGAAATAAAGACAAATTCATGTGCTTAGTAATCAAGAATTTGTCCTCAGGAATAATACAACAAAACAAATGCAAATTTTGGTCTATGTTTTCTTAATTTTTTTTAAAAAATGAGATGCCAAGATGCTATGGTGTGATTATAATTCAGATACTGGTTAGGCTAAAGCCTTTGCCTGCAAAACAAAATCAATTCCAGAGTAGAAGATAGACAATTTTTCCTCTTTCTTTTAAGTAACAAATTAGCTAACATTTATTTGCTTAATTATGAAGATATAATTATCAATACTAGCTTGTAGCTAACGCATTCATGTGAGCAAGTTAAGATTATAGTGTTGGCATTTCCACAGCAGAGCATAATTTCCCCCTATAGGAGCTCTTTAAGAAAGCGTGATTTTCTCGCCATTTTGTGAACAATCTCCTCCCTTTCCCTCACTTGCCTTCCTCTTCCTTCCCCTTCTCATTTGTCTCCTCCCTACTCTCTTTCATCTTTTCTGAAGGCTTCCTGAGCACTTAGCTTTAGATGGTGATGTCACAGAATCTGTCAGTTTTGAAGTTTGATCACGTCGAATGACTTCGAACATCAGAATCTCATGCGTTGTAGAATTGTGTAATTTGAGTTTTGCTGTGGTAGGTAGCTCAGGGCATTATCATTCCACGATGTTTTCTAGGCTCATGGTCAAAGATGTTAAAATAGTAGTAACTGACATGTGCCTAGTACTTGATAAAACACTCCTACATGTCCTAACCTCATTTTGTACACAAAGCAATTTCGTGTTGCTCTAATCTGAGCAAATGTGATATACTCATATCTCCATTTTATAGATATTGAATAATTGCTTAACTCACATATCCATTAATCATGATGTTGGTGCTGATTCCCAGATCTTGACCATAATTCTTCTCTTCTTTTTCAGAACAACATGTACCAAAGCTTCTGAAATAAGAGTAACTGAGAAAGTGTCCAGAGCATTGTGTGAGATGATATTATTAAAGAAATAGATTTCTTAGGAAGAAATTTCCCAAATGGGCTATGACTAATATATTTCATAAATTCACGTATACCACTTATGCAGGCTTTTATGAAAGATTTTTTATAAAAGCTTTTATAAAGGGTTTTTTTGATGGGAATTAGCCAGGGTATGTGTTCTTGCTTGGTAGCTGAGAGTCTGCTTGAAGAGTTATGAGCTGGTGTGTTCATTCTCCTATGTCTAAGGAAAGGTTTCACAGAATCAGGTAGTGCACTGGTAGTAATGAATGATGATTAACTTAATTTACCAGCATTAGGTTAGAAAACAACAGTTTGTAAGATGTTCAGAAGACATTTTCTTCTGGGAACCCAAAGTCAAGAGAACTGATTTTCTAAAGGGTAAAGTATATTATCAAGGACAAGGGTTTCTTTGTTCATTTCACAGATTTCTTATTGCAGGAGATAAAACCCATAGCATATATTTAGGATGTGTAAATTGTAGAGTACGCTGTATACTGCATTACACAGAAAGCTTGCTGTGGTTGGGTTTGAGAAAGGTTTTAAGTTTTTGACATGAATTCTGGGACTAAATAGGGCTTATATAAAATTTTCCTGTATGCCGAAGTAATCATATCAAGCACATGGTCTCAAGTGGTATCTGCATTCACATGTGTACACAAGAGAACATTTGTACTCTGCTGCTTCATGCAACTTTTCCTTAAACCCAAAACCCTATCTTCACCACAAGAATAGCATAGCAATAAATAGAAAGAGTAAAAGCCTGGGTTTTAAGAACAAATCATTACCTGAAAAGATTACTGCAGGAAAAGAAAATCTTACACTATTTCAGAATGAATCTAAACAGGTCAAAAGGAGAAAAAGTAACACAAGGAAAGGAGATAGTAATGGAGAGTATGTTCAGGAAAATGCAGTCTTAAATAGTATTTCAGAATAAATCTGAGGCAATTAAATAGGAGGAAAAACACCAGCAGAAAGTAACATTAAATGGAGTTCAATGGAGCTCCATTTCCGGAGCTGCTAAGGCCTCAGCTACTAGAGCCGCCTCGGCCTCTCCTCTTCCACCTGCTCCCCTCCACTGCCAGCCATACTGCCTCTCTAGGTGCTGTTGCAGTTCCCAGAACATATTTTCATCACAACCTCTGATTTCCAAACCCCTTCTGCGCTTACATTGTGGGTCTGCAATGAAGCATACAGTTCTCTTCTGTTCTGTCTACAACAGTGATGTGTATACCTACAATAGCCACCGTCTTTGGGCACTTGCTACAGTCCTGGTACCAGGTGCCTGATTTATTATCTCAGTTAATTAGCAAGCTAGGTACATTCATTCTCCAGTACAGAATGATTTTTAAGTGTCAAAGTTCTTTAAATTGTTACTGGTTTTGAGTGGTGATGATCACACCACACTATACTTCCAAAAGTTGGTGCTAGGGACACCCTTCCCTATCTTAATGCAAAGTTTAGTATTTGTGATGCTTAATCTTATTGTTAACTTGATTGGCTTGCAAATCTCCTGGGAAATCAGTAAAGCACACTGTCAGATGAGTCTGAGTGGGTTAAAGGGCTCAACTTGGGGATCATATCTGGTCCCTGGTCTCTTCCTGTTTGCCATCCTCCCTTGTTCACTGTTTTCTGACTGAGATGAAGTGAGCAGTTTTCCCCTACCAGGCCCTTCTGCCATGGTGTTTTTCCCTGGAGCAAGGACTATGGATGAAACTGTGAGCCAAGATAAACTTCTCTTTTATTAAATTGTGAGTGTCGAGCAAAGGGAAGGTGACTAGAAGAATATTTAACACTTGGAATTCAGCAGGGCACTATATCAGTACACAAATTGTATTTTGTATTCATGGCTCTTTTAATTAATTGAGATTTCCTTTTCTTCATTGAAGTCTAGCAGTTAGTAGAAATATTCCAATCAAGGTGTTTTCCATTCCCTGTTTAATCTGCATGTTAAGTCACTCATTACACACAGCAATTTTATCTGAAAATTATCTCTCCTAATATAATAAACATTAGACAAATACGCCATGAAGATCTTTAGTACTGTACAATAAAATGTATAGTAGTCTAAATCTATTTTAAAATTTAACATTAACACACTAAGACCTAATATCTTTTCTGTTTCTAATAAAGAGAAATAATAATTCCTCTTATTTACATTTTGTGTGTTATTTTTGGGCTCCAGAAAACCTCATTAATGAGTCACTTGTTATCAACAATGCCGCAGTGGACTAACACAGTCTCTTTTTATTCCTAGAAGCTTGACACATCAAAAGAGTTTTACTCTCGTATCAAGGAAAGCTTTTGTAAAAAAAGGAAACATAATTAGTCTGTTCAGAAACCTGTTAAGTATAGGCTAAACAGTCAAACCAGCACTACTTTTATGGAAATCATGGAAACTATGTTACTTTCCCCTGAAAATCACAGATATGACCTTTGAAGACTTGCCATGTGAGCTATTCTGGCAGGAGAATCTAGTTGGTGACTAAGCGAGAGGTATATTAAGTGTCTCCCACACACAGCTTAACACACAATACAGCAATGCTTATTAGTAGTAGAAGGAAAAGAAGATGTATGGGTCGAGGAACAAAGAGATGCTCAGTTGCACTTGCCACAATCACATCTCAATGGGAGAAAGTGTACTTAAGTGTCCAAGAATTGAAATATACTAAAATGATTCAAGAGAAGAAGCTTGAATTCGTATTGTTACTTTAAAGGCTGGAATGAGAGAGTGCTTTCCCTTTGCTACCTAGAAAAGCCTCCTGTTTTCTCCATTTACACATTTTTTCCACTATGAGAAACAGACATTTTTTTGGGTACCAAGAATTGAACTCAGGACATTGTGCTTGCCAGGCAGGTGCTGTGCCACTGAGCTACATCCCTGGGCTGAGACAGACTTACATTTGCTCTCTATGTATAGAATCTGAAAGCTGGGCATGTCAGTGCATGCCTGTAATCCCAGAACTCTAGGAGGTTGAAGCAGGATTACTGGTTGAAGCTCAGGTTGGGCAATTTAGCGACTTAAGTCTCTCTCTCAAAATTAAAAAAAAAAAACATAATTAGCCGGATGTGGTGGCTCACGCCTGTAATCCCAGCACTTGGGAGGCTGAGGCAGGAGGATCGTTGTGAGTTCAAGACTAGCCCGGGCTACAAAGTGAGCTCAAGGCTAGCCTGAACTGCATAGTGAGACTCTATCTCAAAAAGATTAAAAAAAAAATTAAAAAAGGGGAAGAGGGGAAGAGGTTCAGTGTGAAGACCTTTGGCTCAAACTTCAACTGCCCCCTAAAATGTTAAATGATTATTCTTTTCTTTTTTCTACTCTTTCCTTTTAGAATGTCTGTTTTTTCCTGTGGGTAAGGAAGAGGAGTTAGAGACCATGTTATTCAAACTAATGGAATTTTCTGTGACCAATGGCACAGTTTTCTAGGCATCACTTGGTTAATTTCTCAGAGGCCTTTGTCTTTAGTGAATGTATTTCTGGTTTTTACTATTTGTTATTATTATTATTATGTTGCTACTATACAGTCAACCAATATGCCTACTTCTGCTTAATACAGCCCTGGAAAATTTTCCTGGTCCTGGACAGGAGTTCTAGGTCTTGTTCATGAGCTTTTGATGAGTAATCAGTGAACAGTTGGTAAGTTAAATCTGTACTTCATGAAACACTAAGGAAAAAAAAACTTATTTTCATTATAGTTTAAGACTATGTGTTTTTATCTTGGCAACAATCTAGCACCTGAGAAATACTAATATTGATTTGTAACAGAACTTTATTTTGTTGAGTGAAAGAGTAAAAATTCTTTACAAATTATAAATGCTGTGTATTTCCTCATAATCCCCCTTTGAAATGTCTTAATAAAAGTGAGAAATATACTTTATATATTGTACAAACTCTCCTGTGTTCTGTGGAATTCTTATTAAGGCACACACTTCAGTGACTGTTTTATGAATTCTGTACAATGGAGGGAATTTTTTGTTCAGAGTGCACCCTTCCAGGTTATTGGAGTCTTATTTTACGGAGCTTTGCATCTTTCTTAGCCTGTGAGCCGTTTTACAACTCTCTGAAGCATAGACAGTTGATAGCAGTGCAAAATACTTTTTTTGTACACTAAAGTAAGTAGACTATTATCTCATGGAGGTTCAACTGACTTCCCTTCCACACTGTAAAAGAAGCCCTACTTGTACATTCATTTCAATATTCCTAATCTTTAATAAAAGTTTTATTCTTTGAATAGTTCTTTGAAGTAGTTTTAACATCTTATTGATTTCTTAATTGATAATGACTTAAAAATGAGTTAAATACAATGATTATCTCATATTTATTTTCTATGAAAATTGTGACTTTACATATATTGATTTGGAAAATTATTCTTCAGTAGCAATAGAGAGAAAAATAAGATTTTGAGTGGAAAGTTTAGATGTGCACAATCTCACAGATGGTTCACAATCATCTCTTTTTGTTGCAGTTTTTTGGATTGTGTTTTACTCTTTTAACTTTTATTCATCTGCCATTCACTTTTAAAATCCCAGATTAACTTTCTGATGAGTGAAAAAATCAATGCAATGACTAGCAATTTAAATCTGGACTCCACAATGCTAAAACACATGAACAAATAAGCCTGTTAATTTTAAATCATTATTTAAAATAATATAGTTTTTATTTTGGTGACTACCACTTAAATATAAATGACGATATATGAGACAAGTTGGCTTTACTGGACTGAAGAGACATGGAAACTCCTCTGACAATTATGAGTGTGTGTTTTCCCGTATCTTCCTTTTAGAAATTAACATTTTCATTGAGATCATCCATTGGAACTATTACATTATGGTTCAAAGAAAACATTACAAAATATACAACAAATAAAACAAATTTTTATACTTACTGTGCCCCACCAGAGAGCATCTGCATATGTAGAAAACTCTTTATTGGCATCTTTTTCCACCAGATACACAAGGAAAGATGAAAATATAAGAACCAAAAATCCTATGTACCAAGCTGTGATTAATTCCTAGAAATAAGAAGAATGGAAGATCATTAGAGGTGAAAAAAATCTTTGAAAAAGGAAAACAAATCTAAAAATGATTCCAATCATTTCCCCCCTTCTTGGATAGTTACGATGGTTTAAAAGCAACCCATTATGCCCTATGTCCAAAAATAACTTTGGCCAGTTTCTGAAATGATTAAATTCGTTAAACATGAAGATATCAAGGAAAAGGTTTTAGATATTTTATTCTAAAATTCAGAAAGCAAAGCTTACCTTGCTGTGAGCATAAACCACTGAACCTAGTAATTTCCAAGTGCCTCCCCTTCGGTCCATGCGCACCATGCGGAGGATCTGTAGGAAACGGAGACTTCTGAGTGCGGACGTGGCAAAAATGTTACCCTGAGTTTTTGCAGAAACAACTGCTATTGACGCGATAAGGACAATGGTATCTGAAAGACACAGCGGGAGATAGCCGTAAGTTGCCTGACTAGAAATTTTGATTTCTCAAAACTGTATTTCTGAAAGCTTAAATTGGACTTCTTGGGAGCAAAATTGAACATACCTTGAACCTGTCTATTGGAGTGCTCCTGGATCTCCCCATGGTGAGCTGTTGAAAATGCTACTGGCTTGATACAGACCTGTCACTTAGTTTCTTGCCAAACAAACTTGTACCCTTTTATGTTAAAAATTCCCTATTTTGTTTGCATATGCAAACCACTTTTTATATGGTTTAATAAAGGCCTCAATATGCTAGGCTTTTTGCACAGAGTAGTCTTTATACCTGGTGAAAGTCTCATGCATCAATTAAATAATATTACATTTTTACAATAGAACATGTAATTATACAGACTGCATTGCAAGGGAATGGGTATTTAATGTCTGATATACTGACATATGTCTTAAAATAGCTGCCCTTTTGTAAGCAAAAAAGATAAAGAGCAGCTAATGAAAGCACTGAAATGATAAAAGAGGATTTCATCACTTCAAGAGTAAATATCTGAGAGGTAAGATGATGATTTTTCATATGTTCACTTGATCTTAACAACCTTGAATACAATTTCCATCCTGTTTCAGTGGGTTGTGTGCAACCTGACTTCCATACTCCAAAGAGGAGCATCACTTCGAGGTTGCTGCATCTGTAACGTTTTTGTGATCCTTGGGATTAACTGCATATGGATGTGTACTCTTCATTCAGCTCATGCTTCTTGTACTCTGAGAAAATTCTGGTCTCATGGGGAGGCTGGCAAGCTCTTTGAGTCACTCTGCTGGTGCCCCTTGGGACCATCTCAGTGGTTGGCAATATAAGGATCAGCGAAAGGGCCTTTTCCAGTTATATCTAAATTCTAGGTGGCTTTGTGGCTAGGTATCCAGAAAGCTCCAAATGCATCCTTGGGTTTCTGCTCTTGGCAGCTGTGGGGAATGAAAACGAACTAAATGTGCTGATACAGACACTGCAGACATATTTTTAAGTAAATGAAAGCCACTTGTGAAAACTACAGATAATGTGATCATATTGAGATAAAAACATGTATTAGCATATAATTAGAAAAAAGCAGCATATTCACAGATTATTACTATGAATTATCTCTAGGCATTAAGTTAGGATGAGCTGTATCTAAAAAGGACTTTCACTTCAAAATAATTTCTTTCTTTTTTTTTTTTTTTTTCGTGGTACTGGAGATTGAACTCAGGATAGTGCGCTTGCCAGGTAGGCACTCACGCCACTGAGCTAAATCCCTGGCCCCAAAATGATGAATTCCTATAATGTTAGAATATAATAACAGTAAGTATGTGTTAAAATTGAACTAAAGCTGTATACAAACATAGCTCATGTTCTGGGACAGCGCAGCTGAGAGGAATGTGAGGTCTCACTCCTCCCTTCCTCCATTGATTGGGGACTGTGTGGCTGATGAGACAAGTCTGAGATCCGCCCCTCCGTCCCTTCACTGGTACTGGTGGAACTCAGGGCTCAGACACCTGCAGGAATGCCGATAACACAGAAGCACCCTGGTTAAGGTGTACATGATGGACGGACAGAACTAGAGGCATAGAAATGTCTCATCCAACAGTAACAATATGAGCTAACAGATGGGAAGTTGGGAGAACTAGCACTGTGCTTGGGGACAAAGACATGAGGAATAGAAGTGGACCGTCCCCTTTTCTCTTCTTGTATTTTTTTCCTCTTCTTTTATAAATGACTGGAGAGAACTCTTGACCAGAGTGCACATTTATGGGATCCAATTTGGACCTACCACACAGTTACAGACACTAGACTCTGACTACTTTCATTTTCTCCATCTGATTGATTTCCCTCTTGGTATTTGGCTGGATTAGTGTTTTATTTTGTTTTGTTTGTTTGTTTGTTTTTGATGATTTTTTTGTTCATTTTCCTTTTCTCTTCTCATTTTTCTCTGTTTTGTCCTATTTTGCTTTTCTTTCTGTATGTTGCTTTTTTAGTGAGGATATTTTTGCTTACCATTTTTTTCTGTTTTTTTTTTCTTTTTTCCATCTTTTCTGGTTCAAGACTTAGGTCTCTAGCCTTTCTTTTTGTTTTATTTACTCATCTTTTCCCTCCCTTTAGTTAACTATCTTGCTTAACTTTATAATACTTCCATGTGAGTGAATATTGTTTCATCTCTTTCTGGTTCATGTCAAAACTCCTAGGCCTTCTAGTCCTTCTCTTCTATGTACTGCAATTATCCAAAACCTAGTTGATCATCCTGTGCCATACAACCTTTCTCCTACTGTAGTTACCCTCATTCGTCTCTCCATCCTACCCCCATTCTGTTGAATCCCATTCCCAAATATACAACAGGGTAAAATCACTGTACTAAGTGGAAAATCATTGCATAGAAGTTTCTGGTACAAGTTATATTATATTATATTTCTGTAAATCTTTCTCCTATGGTTATAGGCATCAAGATAATAGTTACCACATTTTGTCAATAGCCAGGCTATACCTGAGTCTATTGTTATTCCCGACGGAACTACTTTAACCAGGTTGTCATACATGCTATAGCCAGTCTTTCCTCCCTGTATAATAACACTGTGATTGTGAGGGCTCAAAACCATCATTATAGTCCAATACTAAAGGAATGAGTCCTAAGTCAGTAGATAGCAACTCCTCAGCATTAATATATTGGGATGGCAGGCTCTGGGAATAGCCATAGACCAAGAACCACCTGCATCTAGAAGATGTCTGGAGGAGCAGACACCTCCTGGGAAAGCTTCCACACCAGTGATAAGGCTATCTAACATAAGAAATCTATAAGCATCAACAGAGAGGAAAATAGAAAATATAATATGAAAATATGAAGAAACAAAATGTAAGCTCAAATTTCCAGTCCACCCAGGACAATTCCAGAACACAAAGAGATAGATGAAATCAGAAGCCAACAAATGGAACTCTCTGAAATGATAGTAGCAGAAGTGAAAAAACAAATGGAAGAGGCCATAAGAAAAATAATCCCTAAGATGCAAGAAGAAATGACTATCAAAATGAAAGAGATTAAAGTAGACACAGATAAACAAATAGAGAAACTCAGGAAAATGATGCAAACCATGAATGCCAACCATAGACAAAACATGAATCAGTAAAACAGATCCAAGTAGAAATGCAGGAGATTAAAAACAGATTGAATGATGACAAGGATACAATGTCAGATCTAGAAGATAGGAACATGACTAGTGACCAGGAAAAGAAACATATCTTAAAAATAGTGAGAGACCATGAAAAACCAATCCAACAGTTATAAGATAAAGGAAAGAAAAATAACATAAGATTGATTGGACTCAGTGAGAAGGCTGGAGCCAGCACAAAAGCCATTATTAAAAACATCTTCACAAGGAGACAAGAAGATGGTAGCTTGCTAGGTAGCTGGGGAGAGAGCTTCTCTGGGAAAAACACCTCAGATGCTGGAATTTGACAACATGGAGAGGGCCAGACGAGTGGAGAGGGATTCTTATGACCCCAGGAGGTAACTGAAGGAAAAAGAAAAACAGGAAGAGGAAAGAAAAATGCAAGTGGAGGGCAGGAGCTAGACTCACTGAGACCCATTCTGCACTGTGCTGAGCACGCCGTGGAGTTGGACAATTCAAGGTCACACTGGGAGTTAGTGAGTCCCAGCCTCTCGGTGGGAGGATGTGGTGCAGCGTAGAGTGGAGCCACGCTGGACAGCTGCATTAATTCTCGATGAGTGCTGGAAATTGGGTCCCGTGGTTGATGAGGCTGGCTGGAAGACATCTTGGAGTGGGGCAGAGTCTGGCGCCATGGTGGTGTCAGTCAGCCATCCCTGGCTCAGAGAGGACTAGTGGGATCAGCTTGGGCTGAGTCACACCCCTGGTTTGGACCCATTAGCCAGGGACAAAACTGTCCTGACCTTGTGATTTCAGTCACAGCACAGCCTAAATTGCTGAAGGCACTTGCCAGTTGACTGGCTCAGAGAAAAGCGGTTAGTCCACAGTCCCTGCATGTACCTCAGATAACAGCAAAGTGGAGAGGGCAGCAAAACCCCAGCCACTCCACTTCAGAAAAACCACAAGCAATACGAAGAGGGCCTGGGACCTCCACCACACACCTGTCTGAAAGAAATCAGAAACATGACAAGAGAAAGAAACAAGAAAAAACCTCCAGCCACTGACCCTGGGAAAACAGGTCCAGGAGAAGTAAATACATGAGAGAACCAGGGCAGCAATCATGCAATATTGGCCACAACATCAGTGGACATAAAGAAATACCTTCGTGACCTCATAGATGAACTTAAATTCTAATCCAAGTGAGGCAAGATACAAAAAGATTAATAAAAGAAATACTAAGCCCCTCTCAAGAAGACACAGATGGAAGAATGGAGGAACCCAGAGAAGGAAGAGAAACCTTTGGTGAAGAATATAAACAAAATTGAGAATACATAAAATAGATCCAAAGAGATTACCAGGAAATTAAAAACTCCATTGAAAGCTGGCAAAATGCCTTGACAGAAACTAAAGTTAGCTTTTCGAAACTTGAAGAGAGATTTACAGTGTGTGATTGTGAAAGAAAAGACCTATTAAAAATAACAAGGAACCAGGAAGTAACAATTCAAAGGCTAGAAAATGACAGCAGGATCTATAACTTAAGAATAAAAATGTGAGCAAAGAAGCAGGAATAACCACAAATGAATTACAAGGCTATTCACAGAAATAATTAAGGAAAACTTCCCAAGCATAGGAAAAAGAAAGAATATCCAGATAAATGAGACATACAGAACTCCAACCAACTACAACCAAAACAGATCTACACCCAGACATACAATAATTAAGATCCCAGAAATCCACCACAGAACAGAATATTAAAAGCAGTCAGAGAAGAGAAGCAGATCACCTACAAAGGAAAAATCATCAAAATAATGACAGACTTATCTACACAAACTATCAAATCGAGAAGAGCCTGGGGGGAAATAGTCCAAGCTCT